ATTCATACTGAATGATTTTATTTTCTTTATTTTTTATTTGTAAAATACTATAGCATTATCTACCTGAGAGTAATGATTGGATGGACCTGGTTCTTGGTCAGGCGAAGAGTATGACTCCCACAATACACTAACAGCTGGTGTGTGAAACTCTTCAAACATTGTCTCTATCTTTTCCTGTCTTCTTTCCATTCTTCTCTTCTCTCTTTCTTCTTTCCAAATTTTATCTCGTTCAAAAGCTTCAACAAGCTCTTTTCGTTCAGTTTCTCTAACAGACTGAAAGAAGGATAAACTGTCCTCTTCGCTAGCTGTTTCTTCTGTATCTAGTGCCTCTGTTTCACCCTGATTATGCAAACTCTCCTTTTTCATAATCTTTGGTTCGGTTTTGACCTCCTGATTCCCTGCTTCGTCGCTTTGTTTGTTCAGTGTTGCAGTTAGCCTGTCAAGCTCTTTGCTTCTAAATTCTTTGTAGAAAGCAGCTCTCTCCTCTTCACTCGATGTTTCTTTGTCCTTCTCTGTATGCATTTCTTTGACAGCTCTTTTGTTTGCAGAAAGCCTGTTAAGCTCTTTGCCTCTAACATCTCTGAAGAAAGCAGCTCTCTCCTCTTCACTCACTGTTTCTTTGTCCTTCTCTGTCTTCATTTCTTCGACAGCTCCATTGTTTGTTTGGTCATGCATATTACATGCTTTCTGCTCATTTCTGGTTTTGTTTACTGTTTTAGAAAGTCTGTCAAGTTCTGTATTTCTAAGATTTCCGAAGACAGCAGCTCTCTCCTCTTCACTTGCTGTTTCTTCTCTTTCATTAATTGTCTCAATGGTTGTCTTATCTGTGTCATTCGTCTTGGTTTGTCGATTGGACAATGTGTCTGCTTCCAATTCGCTGCAAGCAGTGTACAATACAGACAGTGTAAACCCGCTAAGAATGCTATCAAAATTCGCTTTATCCTCGCCCATTTTATCTGTAAATGGCACAAAAATACGTTAAAGACCATGTATGGCAAAAATAACCATAATACAACACAACTTTAACTAAGGATTTGATATAAGCCGATGTCAACTTGACAAGGCTCATCCAAGTCGGCTAATTTAAACAAAATTGCTATTTCAGTTAACTTTTTTATCTCATTTTTCAGCATAGTATGTCTGAAAATTTTCCAATTCATTCATTCTTAGTCAGTACAGAATTACTCAATGCTACCAAACACAGTACAGAAATTTTGTGATATCCAAACTTTGAATCACCGCTAGTTTCCGTAGTTTATATTTTATATGTTTTCACTGTATACGTCAATAATGGAAAAAAGTTAAGTCTTAGATATTTCCTAACATCAAGGGTAATACATTCCTTATGTAAGATATTTACATTTTTCTTCAATTCCCGGAATATAAGTTGATATAAAAATATGGAGATGTGGTATGATTGCCAATGAGACAACCACCAAAGTTCAAATAAAGTGGATGTAAGCAATTATAGGGAACCGCGTACGGCCTTCAACAATAAGAAAAACCCATACCATATAGTCGCCTATAAAAGACCCCCACGTGAAAAATATGAAACAATTCAATTGAGAACACTAACGACCTAATTTATAACAAAACAGTTTACGAAAAACAAATATGACAGACATGAACCAATTGAACTACAGGCTCCGGACTTGGGACAGGCACATAAAGAATATGGCGGGGTTAAACATGTTTGTGAGCGCTCAACCCTTCCTCCAACCAGGACAGTGGTGTAACAGCACAACATAAGGACAACCTATAAAAATCAATTAAAAAAAAGGATTAACTCATCAGATCGATACAAAGCAGAAAAACATCAAACAAAAACACAGACCGAACGTAGCAGGGTATTTATCCATCCCTCATCCCTAACAACAACAAAAAAAAGAAACACTAAGTACAGATCTAAGAGTACTCGCAGTTACTGACAGCTAGTTCAAAGCCAATGACAACTAATAGAAAAAATCATGTATCTAAGACTAAAATATCAACCAGTGCACATCCAACATTCAATGGATTTAGTGTAAAGACGTCATTAACAGTCGGAGAAAAACCTTGTGTATATTTAATGCCACTTATTTATAATAATTGTAAAGGTCATTGATATCCCTACATCACATACATAACACACTGGATTCAAAACTATATATTTAAATATATATAGGCTTAGGAGTATCGTGTTATTGACAAGTTAAACGTCGAGTTGACTGTCAAAGGAAAAAAAAAACGGGGAACACAGCCATATGAACAAAACATATTTTACCCGTGATCTCCTACCGTATGCGTATATGTGAAAAAGATATATACAGCAAAAAGACAAAGTTGCATGCATGCAATAATGGAGAATGAATAATACGATATACTTACTCAACTCTTTAATTTCCTGATTTATCTTCTGGTGCATACGACATTCTTATTTTTCTCCGTGGTCCTCTGTGCTCAAATAAAAGTATAATCTGCTTCGCTCAATAACGACGTTGCTACTGAGGATATCATGACGTCCGACGTCGAAGTCGTCACTAATTTTCTCCTTACTTCGAGACGGAAAGAGCGCAATCGACGGTAGTGTCTGTATTCCTTGAATTGTATGCAGTTTTAAAAACTGTTAGCAAGAAAAACGAAAAAAAAAACCAAATATACTATTAAAACGATAAAGAAATCATCTGTAAAAACTAAAGCAATTAGAGCAAAACTTACATGATCTTACATGGGTAAAAATAATGAACATTTTCAGAAAAATCGGACGATCCATTTTCGAGTTATCACCCTTGAAATGTATTTTTTTTTTAGCAAATTTCTCAATTTTGTGGCTATTTTCTTTGAAACTATTACTGGGGGGAAAATATACATGGTCAAAATAACCGGCAAGACGCACCCTAATGACCTTGAATGGGGATATTTTTAAATTTTGGCGTTTTTTGTTAAAATCTTGAAAACTGCATTATGTAGAGAGAGACCTGACACCATAGAAAGTATAAGCTAGATAAGATCTACAAATAGCCTAATGTGCTCGAAATTGTCCGTTGACTCAATATAGAAGTTATGCTGTCTTTCATTTATGATTTAACCCATCTCTTGCTATTTTTGCTATTTCTATTGTAAATGGAAAGATTCTATTAAGTTGACCGTTACATGTAAATGTCCAAACGATCAGCAAGACTGTTTCTACATAAAAGTCGAAATCGCCAGTAGACTCCTTTGAAATAGTAATTGATGCCTTCGAGCGATAGTGTAAACGATCATATCAAGGTCTTAGTGTAAATCATAATGCACGTCCATCAGTGCATATCCATTTAATAGCCATGTCTCGTATATTGTTGCACGCAAAATATTTTCAGGAACATGAGCTCACTATTTGAACGCTCACTTTCGCAACTGATTACTATTTTGCAAACAATTTTAAGAATGACAAATTAATATGTTTGGATGGCCCAACTTGTTCTATAGAAAAATATTAGAGTTCGAATATTTATATGCGAGTCTAAAGTAAATCTACCTTACTCTGACCTTATATCTATGGTTGGTGCCTGTCAAAAGGGTATTTTTCTGCAAGTGCCATGGTATCGCAATAGGTATCATTTTCAACAGCTCCATTTGCTTCTTTAAAAGTTGACTATATCCGTGAATCAAATTTCAGTTGTATTTCAAGATAGGTCTTGTAAGAGTGTCAAATAATTTATATGATAAACTAGTAGGTACAAAATGAAAATTACATATATATATTCTCTCAATAAAAATAATACTTTCATACTTTTTTTAGACACCTCTTCAGTGTTTTCTTGTAAAATAACCTCTTAAGATAATAATATTCGCTAGGAATTTGAAGTCTTTAATTTCAGTCAGAATTTTATCATTGTAGAAGAGGATATGGGGTGGTGTGTACACATGTAGTGCTGGAAAGAGACTAACTTGCACGTTTGTCCGTTTTTTATCATATCAATTCTATATAGACACGTTTAATTCTGTTTGTTGCATCTTGCTTTACATCCAGAAAATGACAAGTAGGGTTGATTTATAACAAAATTTTGCGACAAAAAGATAATATCGGATGCCAAAGTGTGTACTTTCTATGAAACGATATTCCAGCCTGCATATGGAGTATATATATATCCCAGTTCTTACGATACTCAAGAGCTTGCGTTTCCTATCAGGATTTCCTTTATATGTATGGTTGCTGCTTACAAGGAAGCTATTGCACCAAGGGTTCAAAGTGATAAAGTTGAAATTGAAAACTTCGAAAGTGTCATCATGGGTTGGTTTACCGTTATGGAATATCGGTGTCTTTTCATAGATTGTCACCTTTATTCGACTTTATCAACGAATTTGCAAATACCATGTGCTACACGAAGGGTGGCGGGTGCAATCCTGGTCTTTAGGGGGGTTACTGGTGCCTAGTCTTTCGTTTTCTTTGTAGGATTTTGTAGAATGTTGTTTGTCTTTTCGTCGATTTTCGTTCGTTTTTGTCATGATGTTGTCAGTTTCTCTACCACCTACGAGTTTGAAGGTAAAGATTGGTGGAGAAACACAAAAATATGTTGTGTCCACAAGTGTGTTATGGACAGACAGATGATCCCGTTACTCTATTCCCACCGCAAATTTGTTGCAAGGGGATAATAATAAATGTAGAGATATAAAAAGACATTCAAAAATACTATTTGCAGACATTGTAATCTTCAAAGGAAGACTACCATATCTATTAAAATATCTTATTATATATAGTCATATAATATATAGTAGAAAGACAGATTCGGATTTAAATTGATCACAGTTATTTTTTACCTGAAGTTTTATTCAATATTATGAAATGTCGTATAAATAAGTATAATGAGTATTACATGAGAGATATATTGAGAGGGATAAAATCTGCAAATAACTATTTGCTCAATATACGCTGTTCTTCTTCAAAATAATATAACATCAAATATGTTTATTTAACGTTATTACTGAAAGATTTTTTATCTTTGATACGAACCTTCCATTTCACCTGTACAGTGTATAGGTGTCATTAGTCGGTGTCGATAGTTATTGAAAAGGTCTGTTTATACATTAAGCATCTTTCATTATACCTATGCGCAATAGAACTTGCAACATGATCGTTCAAATAGCAAAGAGGAATACAACATTAGCTCAGTATGGACTTTTGTTCATTCGCTCTATGTCGACAGGACATTTCGACCTTCATCTTGATACTTTGGCTCCGAGAAGTATACCGGGATTCAAATTATGGTGGGCAAAAGAAGTGACACCAAAGCTGTATGTTGCTGGAGGATTAACAGACACGCAAATCAAATATGCACATGATGAAGGATTTAATGGCGTTATATCTCTTTTCCATGAAAATGATCCTGGTCAGTTTGGGGGTGAAAAACTAGCTTCTATTTCAGAAGCCAAATATGTTGCAACGATTGCTGGTCTTCAGTTTGATGCTATTCTAACAGAGAACGAAGATTGGGCCTCTGTTAAAGCAGTGGAGAAACTAACAGACTCGATTACTAAGATGGAGAAACCAATTTTGCTTTATGCCAGCAAACCACAAGCTGTAGCTTTTACAACATTATTGCATACAGTTTACATGTCAAAACTGAACTCTAAATACGAACCAAGAGTCAACAGTGAAAAATTCTATAAAATGAGTGCTTTAATGGGGATGGATTTTACAGAAGACAAATTTAAATCGGTTGTTGCAGAAATAACAGGTGAACCAATAGTTAGCAATCCTCCAAAATGTGATGCATATCCAAATTGGTTGGGATATTGGCTTGGTCATCCTGTCTATAAGAATTGGTTCACTGCTGGCCAGATAAGAAGAGGCCATTTAAAAGAGCTTGAAGCCCATGGCTTCAAATCAGTTATCAACATGCGAGTGGGTAAAACCTTCAACAATAATCCCTCGCAAGAGACCGTGAATCTGATCAACATACCAGACAATGTTAATACATATGACGAGAACTATAATCCAGTAAGACAAAAAACGTCGGAATTAGCGAAAGTGGTAATAGATCCAGCTTTGGACAGAGAACATATATCTCCTAGATCAAAAGTAAATTATGAAACCGAGAACCCTGAGGAGTATGGTGACGAAATTGGTTATAATGAAGAAATTGAAAGCGAGCATTTTAAGGGATCATCTTTGAAATATTACCACTTACCTTTAGGTAAGTTATTTACTTTGTAATCTTGAGTAATATCTTTAACAAAAAATTGTGTTCGTTGAGAGAGAAAATGTTTGAATACGACAAGTGATATAGACGTAGAAGCACTCAAATAAAGTGCGGGTGAAATAAAAGTCCACGCGAGGTATCTTGAATCATCTCCTTAGTTCCCATAAAAACCATTGAAACTGCTGCTCTCTTAACTCATAAATTTGTGTTACAACTAGGGTTACAGCTTTCTGCCAACTACGCAATACCATATTTTGAAGTTTTCATCGCGTGACAATTTATTCAAAACATCATGCTTAAAACTAAATGACTCGTATATAAATCAATAAAAATAATATAACCCATTTCCTTTAATGTAATGTAAATATATGTGCATCACGAACCACAGGTTTCATCTTTATATTAGGATATTTAAACCGTGAAATTATATTGCAGATATTAATACCACCTTCAGTGCAGATGTATTTCAACAGTACAAGGACAAGCTGCTAAAAATAGGAAACGACGGCCCAGTTTTGTTTCACTGCACTATTGGGCAAAGAACTGGTAAATTTAACTTGTGTCAAGAAAGTTCATTCAAATGAATTCAGATGTCCGGAGATAACACGGTTCTTATCAATGTCGAAGTTGTATTGACGTTCTCTCAAACTGACTCCCAATTACAAAAGTCAGTAATGTAGTGTTATTGTCCCGTAGAACAGGGAGTTTCCACAGCCTGTCTTGATAGAACTGGTACAGCACCGAGAGTAATAAACAGAGGCATATTTAAGGGACTGGGTCCGGGCTCCCTTATGGGATTACATGGTTAATGCATAGACTTTTTACATGTTCCACTCCTAATGTTGCATAGTATGTCACACTTTTCACAATCCTGGTCCGCATCTGAATTAAACGCTTATCATTTAAAAAAAATCATCTATCGGTTTGATCCTATTGAAGTAGTGTGTTACTTGTCTGGTAATAAATAACATGGTTGAAACCCTGAAAAGAGGAGGAAATTGATGTGTTATTGATGTACTTACCTGTGTTTAAAGTTATTGCAAATGGATGGTATTTTTGTTCGAGCATATTGTTTTTCTTTAATTGTTTAACATTTCTTACCGATATAACATGTTACTTTTATTATTCTTCCCTTAGTTTATTTATTTTGTATTTACATTGTGTCATAGGTCAAATTTATTTGTTCAGTGTATGTTCAATGGTGTTAATATGTCCTTTGATTGAGTTAAGCTATTTCAGTTGATATTTTATAGTGTGTCTTTCTATGTTGTGATGTTACACTATTGTTTCAGAAAAAGGGTGAAGGTTTGGTACCATTAAAACGTTTAAACCCGCTGCATTTGTTTGCACCTGTCCTAAGTCAGGAATCTGATGTTCAGTAGTTGTCGTTTGTTGATGTGGTTCATAAGTGTTTCTCGTTTCTCGTTTTTTTTTTTATATATAGATTAGACCGTTGGTTTTCCCGTTTGAATGGTTTTACACTAGTAATTTTTTGGGGCCCTTTATAGCTTACTGTTCGGTGTGAGCCAAGGCTCCGTGTTGAAGACCGTACTGTGACCTATAATGGTTTACTTTTATAAATTTTGACTTGGATGGAGAGTTGTCTCATTGGCACTCATACCACATCTTCTTATATCTATTTGTAATGCGTTGATGAACCAGAAAAAAAGGGCAGTTCATAAAAAAAATGTATATATAAAGACTGAGACTTGTCACGGAAGCATAATAACGTGTAATTGTGCTTAACAAATTTCGCAAAGATCACAGTAGTGTTTGCTGTACAGATTGTAAGTACGTGTAAAAATGGCTAAGATAGTGAATATCGTTTTCATAACTTCTATAATGATACTATTTCTAAATGCATTAAAATACTATTAAAAGGTAAATAAACTGATAAAAAATACTACGAAACAAAACAAATGCATGGTCATTTTCCAGTCTCAAGTATGTTAATTTATAGTAATAAATAATCCAAGAAGACACAGGTGTCAACTCTCCATGCAAAAGACGGAGCATCAAACACATTGTTTGTTAAAAAAAATGGAAATGGCTCTCTGATGACTTGTTTCCTTACAGAGGGTAAAAATTTCCCACTTCGGGTAATAAGAGGAACAGTTTATGTGAATAGAATGGAGTAATACAGACTGACAGACGGACACAACGACAGTTTTACCAAATGGGAATCATAAACGCGTCTTTTGTATATTATTCTTGTTATTGTATACCACGAATGATGATCAGAAATATCCTGAATTTAACCAAACCCTAAATGCTTCAATACGGACAGTTGTCAGAGTGGATACGTCAAATTTATCAAAATATATTTTTTTTGTAACTTCAGATAAGTGCCATACATAAGATTTGGATAAAATTGAGAATGGAAATGGGGAATGTGTCAAAGAGACAACAACCCGACCATAGAGAACCCGATGTACAGACACATCAGGTTCGTTCACAATATCATGAAACTGTATTACAATGTATATTCATTACAAACCATGGCTGTATTCAGTTGTATGTTTTAAGGTGCATGATGCTTTGTTTTAAATGTTTTGTATAGTTTTTACATTAGGTAGAAAGCTCACCTGAGCTTATGTTTTTATATTTTATACTATGCCGCATTAAAATAAAGTTTTCTATATCTATACATCTATGAAGTATTTGAACTTGTATATTTCAGCATTTATGGGTGTCCTAGCAGCGGCAGTTCAGTACAATAAAGATTTACAATGGGCTTTAAAGCGCATACGTGAGCTCGGATTTACTGTCAACGAAACATCTTTTAGTGACGTTAATAAGATGTACAATGATGTGCTTGGTCCGATGCAGGCTACACAATAATGAACTTTTATCCGATAGTTTTTAAGTTGCAGTGTTGTTTTTGTTATGGCAAGGTTTTATTTTCATTACATATATCTGGGACTATTATACTATATTATGTCCCAGCATATATATACATATAGGTCAATCTGGTGCTGGACATAAATATATGTATTGTTCACAAATTAATGCTAATTTATGCTTATTAATCTTTCATCAGATGTTTGTATGTTTCTTGATAGTCGGAAAAGTATAATGACCAGACATAAACTTCAAACATTATAGCCTTGAAAATGTTTGTTCTTAGTAAGGAAAAACAACTATGACGAGCCGTTTACTGTGCGTATTGCTATGTGTTTCTTTATTCTATATTGGCTAGAGGTATAGGGGGAGGGTTGAGATCTCACAAAACATGTTTAACCCCGCCGCATTTTTGCGCCTGTCACAAGTCAGGAGCCTCTGGCCTTTGTTAGTCTTGTATGTTTTTTAATTTTAGTTCATTTATATGTTTTGGAGTTTAGTGTGACGTCCATTTTCACTGAACTAGTACACAATTTTATTTAGGGGCCAGCTTAAAACAAAATTATGTGAAATTGAAAAACAATAATGGGTTGAAAAATTGTATGAATATAGAAATGAACCAAATGGTAACAAGTTACGTACTTATAGACTGTATAAAAATGAATTGGTAACAAGTTCATATCTGAAAAATGTAAATGATAGACAACATTGACGTATTTTATCTAATTTTTGAAGTGGGTGTCTATCAAAAACCCTTCTTAATGACCGAAAGTGTAAATAGTGTACAGTTGATTGTGTAGAAGTTGAAAATAACATTGTGAATTTTATTCAGATCTGCGATATGATTTGTTTTTGAAAGCAAGTGCAATTAACCCAAATTTTAACGGTTTTAATCATGACAAATTCATTTTTCTGATCACGGTCGCATGACTCTATACAAACCTTTTTACTCGGCGAAATCTTCATATTTTGTGTTTAAACGCAGAAAATATTGTGTATAATAAGTTCTTTTATCGTAAAAGCTTTATTTATTAATTTTTAATGAATGTTTAGAACAAGTCTTTTATCATTGAAAGTGTCTCATGTGGCTGGATACCGATATTTTAACTTTGAATAAAATCTGTTTTGTATTTTTATACTTATGTTCTGATGTATGATATTGTTTTTTTTTATTGTTATGTGACACTATAGTAAAATATTGTGTCTGTCTGTCTGTCATTGGAAGGAGAAGTACTATGCTTAGAAGTGCAAACATAAAAGTTTACAATTTGATATTTCCAATAGAATGTGCAATTATAATTCGAGACACCCTCCAACACCCTACCCCTGATTTACGCACCTCAGAATTAAACATAATTTACTGAACTTTTATTTGGGGAAAACTTCCACAGTTATATAGTTTTGTGAGGCCAAGAAGGACAAATACTTTATAATGAAATTATAAAAGAAGACATTGTTCTCATTATCTATAAACTTCATTTTAAATTGATCCGTCTTTCGTGGAAACTTTTTGTTCCACGTTTGTGACGAAACGTGCTCATCTACCCACGTTGTAGGATATGTTACTTGTGTGAACGAAAATCGTGGATTCACGCAAACACCGTACTGCCGCGACATATAAACAACGTAATCTCTACTTCAGTGCATAAAAACTATGTACCAGAAATAATGTTATTGATAGCTGCGTTTGTACAGTACCTAAATCCTTATGTACCTTTTGTTGGTCCATTGAAAAAAGATGGTAATCGGAAGGGTCTGATCCTTAAAGTCTGATATATTCATGTGGCTGTCTTAGGATGGTATGTAGAGTATTTGCAGTCTTGCAAGAAGTAACATACGGACCCCTAAACAATCTGCTGCAATTTGTTGAAAAGACTCTGACAATTTCACTATATACACACTGGCATGGGGTATCGGATTCATTCAAATCGGACTTTAAGCCCGGAGTATTTATACATCACCGTCACACACAAAAAAAAAACAATGATCTGCTTACATTTGTCTCATCGTTGGGCGGGAGAAGTCTAGGCGACTATATATATCTTTTCATGATCATCGAAAATGTGATACGTGAACACTGAACATTTTTAATTCGAATGCTGCCAAGTTATCATTACCGTAGGCATTTTTGATAACCGGCTAACGTTTTTTTATAATTGTTCGTAGTGGTAAGAGACTTTCTTTTAACATTGATTTAGCATCGAATTATGGAGACTCATTGGTTTGTTTTGTTCCGTCATATGCTGGCTTTTACGGAAAGGTGGTGGAGTTTACATGTTGCGTCATATTTAGTTTAGATAATTTAGTCGTTCATAGTAAGTATAGTAAGTAGTTGGAGTCTATATGTGTGCTATTTTAGCACCGATTGATGTTATTTCGTTATACACTGGGTGCGATCAATATTCAAAATCAGGAAGGTTTCATAACAGTTGCCAAATGTCTTTGGATGAAGCAAGGATTTGTATGATACTCTTGATACTATACTAGTACTATACAAATCATTGGATAAAAACTATGGTTTATCTATTGAATTTATTGCAAAGAACCGTGTAGGACCCCATTAATGGAACATCACAAGACTGGAGATCGAAAAAAAAAAAGAAGAAAAAAGCAAATGAAGATCAGGAAATATTATGCTTACTGTATAGAGACAGAAGAGTTTCATTATCTTTCACAGGCACTTGTCTCTGTAAAAAAAACCCTATATACTTAATATGTTATATTAAGTATATAGGTAAGTGCCTGTGGTCTGTATCCGTAACTTGATTGATATACTTGTAATGATCCCTATGACTAGGAAGGTGTTTAACAACCCTTGACTACCCATGAGGGTCTCGTACGGTCGCAAGTCTCTATGACTAGGCTGAGACTACTGTGTTATAGTAGTCTCAGGATTACTGGGGGAAAAAATATTCTTATTCTTATTCTTATAACCATCATGATAACGCACATGTGTTATGGTAGTCTCAGTATTCATATCATGAGAGAAATGTGTGTTTTTGATTGTCTTGGTCTCGTTTTAAGCAGTATTTTAGGCAGAATAAGCCGAAATACTATGTATACAAGTTACTTGTTTGGTTGAAGTGTCCGGAATTATTAAGACGATTCCGAACTTGACTTGTTAGTTACTAACCGGAAGTGGTCGTATTATTTATGAAAATGTCAAACAGCCGGGCAGCAATTCTCATAATGGCGTCGAAAATGCGACAAAGCTCACGTGCTTTTCCATTCAAAAAATGGCATTTTTTAGAAACGGCATTGACGTCACGAAAAAGGCTGCGTAAAGACATTTAACCTGTTTCCCATTCTAAACCAAGTATACCCTTTGATGCGGCAGGTTCCAAACTTTCACTACGTTATTATTAAAAGGCTGAAAATACAATATTTCATTGCAAATTTGGTGGTGAAAGATAAAAATACGGGCCGCGGAAGTGACACTTGAAAATAAATAAATGTAAATTGAAATGACACACGAAATAGTAACGTCTACTCCTATAGATGAGATGATAACTATTGATATTTTGTTGAAGAAAAGCCCACTGATAGAAAAACTCGACAGGTAAACCGGCCCAGTGACGATTCAACAAGTCGAAAAATAGGACGTTTAAAGGGGAATAACTCGATCCCAAAACAACAACAATACGACGGTGATCATAAATGACTGATTGAAAAATGTTTTCCCCTTATTATTGATTTGTAAGCAGTGTTACTGGGCACAAAATAGAAAGTTTAATAAAAATGTGAGTTTCAGTTTATAAAAATATCATTGAAAAGCGGTCATTTGTTAAATATCGTGTCTTCCTGTTGGTGTATCTGATAACTGTAATTGGAAGGTTAGTCCCGTCAGGATATAAACAGTGATCATCATGCCCCTCATCTGTTACAAATTTATGTACTTAATTGAAGTAAATGGTGTTCTCTAGAAGCTGACTGTTTGAATTTAACACGTCCACCAGTTTTAATGGTAGATACACTCCTGATATTTGTAAGAATGGATTGAAAAAATATTTCATGGAATCATGGTTTTTATTTCAGTTACTCTTCTCATAAAAAATGTCATCCTTATTTTCTCAAGAAAAGTTCATAGTTGTGATTCTTAATTGAATTAATCAGAGACATATTAAACAACATATCTCAGGTTAAATAATTGTTTCTGAATAAATGTCAATGAAAAAATCATTGTTTTAATATTTATTTATTTGAACTAAAATTAAAACCACAAAAATACATTTTTTGTCCATACTGTTCTAACAATATCCAGAGGATATTTTTATTCAGATAATTTAACTAGCAAAAAATAATTTAAAAAAATATATATTAATGATCTTCATCTTCCTTTAAAAAAAATCCAGATGAAATGAATTAAAGTTACTAGATTATATCTGGCATACAGAATATTCTGCAAAGTGCATTTACATGTAATAAATTTTATGTTAAATTTTTCAATAAAAAATAATCAGTTCTTTTGAACTAAATCATGAGCAGAACTCTTGTTCATTACCCCTTCATTAATAGTTCAAAAACCCTTCTTCAATCATTAAATATAACATATTAAGGTATAAAGGAATTTTTTTTTCTGAGACAAGTGCCTGTGGTTAAGCAGCAGTACACAGAGTTATACTCCTGGCTTTAACATTTACAATATAACAACCAGCAAAGCCAGAGAGGGGTATTTGCAAACTATTTATAAACAAAACAACTTTAATATAAACAACGTAAACATACTAACATTCAACCTGACAGTATTTAATTCTTAAACTTAACCCACAGCACCAATTATTTAAATTAGGTAAATTATTTTAAAGAGAAATCAGGGCCATTTATAAAAAAGGTAACCTTTTATTAGTTAACCAGTTCCTTGAAAAAAGTAGGTCTTGCTATTTTGGTTCCTTTCTAATAGGATTTTATAAGTTATTTTAACTACTTGCATGATTGTGACTTTTTAAAATTAGACTTTTCAATCTTTTTTTCAAAAGAAGTAAACTTTGCAATTTCATTAAATTTAAAAAAAAAAAGCTTTTTAACAAACTATAAAGCTACACAAAATTTAAAAAAAAAAAATATTAGTATCACCCAGGTATCACCTCCACTTACTATTAAATCAGCATAATATAACCAACCTCTAAAAGAGGGTCACTTACAAATGCTTGGTAATCTGAAATTTCATAATTATAAGTTTTATAATTGGCTATGAAATGTTACGTGACCTGTCTTATGCAACTATAAAACAAAAGATAATGTTGAAAACTAAAAAGTAAAAATATAAATAAAGGAAATGAAGCCATAATAACAATCAAATTAAATAAATGAAATTATAAATAAGTAATAATAAAAATAAAAAAAACAGATGTGAATTAATTAGTAAAATAAATTGCTTAGCTACGCGCAGCTGGATACAACAGCAGATGTCCAACCCTGAAAAGTTGGGGCCAAAATGGACACAATATTCACACTTGATACAGGTCTGAGTTTGGATTGTAATTAATTATTTGACACATTATAGGTTTCTGACACAGAATAACTGTTGTCAAAGAACTTAAAATTGGTTATACGATTTGAATTTATATTCAATTTTTTGCTTTTGTGCAATACACTATGCTGTTGCAAATTGTTGAACCCCCTCCCCCAAAAAAAAAAAATTTTTTTTTTTAGTTTTTTTGCTTTTGTGCAATACACTATGCTGTTGAATATTAACCGCACAAAAAAGTATTTGAAGAAATTTTCTTTTTAATTTCTGAAATCTTAAATGAGAAAAATTGTCCGCCAACAAATTCTTATTGAACCCCCCCCCCCCCCCCAATTTTTTTCACCTCCCCCTTTCCCTCATTCCAAAAAAAATTCTTTCCCTCAAGATATGGTCAGAATCTCAATTCAAATTTCTAATGGAGTTTGCAACCATAATTACCCATTTGAATACATCATAAAAGTATTAAAATATAAAATGACATACATAGTCATGGCTAAAATTAATATTAATTAATAGTAACTGCAAAAAATAAATTGACAGCTAATCACCTCAAGAAAATCATCATTTCTTAATACATAATTTACAAGCATTATAAGGCAGGTAATCAACCATACACAACATTTTTCTTTAAATGGGATTGGATTACCTCCCTTACACTGCTTTTAAATTGTCTTAATTGTCCTTTAACCCAAAAAATCCTTGTTTTCCCCCCTTTTTTGCCCCTAATTCCTAAATGGTTTGAGCCATAACCTCCAACAATCCTAACCATCCCTTTGTAGTATGGAAATTTGTGGTATAATTTCAGAGAGATTCATACACTTACACTTAAGTTATTGTCTGGAAACTACAAAAATGCTTATTTGGGCCCCTTTTTTGGCCCCTAATTCTTAAACTATTGGTACCATAACCTCCAACAACAATCCCAACCTTCCTTTTGTGGTTATAAACCTTGTGTTAAAATTTCATAGATTTCTATTTACTTATACTTAAGTTATTATCTGGAAACCATCTGTCTTCGTACGATGACAATGTGATACCAATATACGACCGCAAAAATTTGGCAGTTCTTGAAAAAAATATAACAACTTGCTACTTGATCACATGGTTGAAAAAAAATACACAGTTGGGATGATTTTGTCTTGTCCAGTAGCAGCTTAGCCTTGACCTGTTCAAGAAAATATCCAAACTCATACTAAATTTCCCAATTTTTAGAACTTGAAAACATGAAAGTGCAAATAGAAGAATAGAACTAAATATTTAAATATAAGTTATCTAAAAGTGAATCCATGTGAATTGTTTTAAATCCCCCAAAAACTCTTTTGTGTTCAAAATGAATCTAAAAAAAATGTAAGAGTTGTCTTCCTTAGTGCACCTTTTTACTTAATTTACAGCTCTTTATTTAGGGCAACCAGAGTTACCTCCCATATAATTAATGAAATTTTAGTGAAATTTAGACACTCCTTTTTGGCAGAATTCACAGAAAATTTCACACTGAAATAAACATTTCAGTGGCCATATTATGAAGCTCTCAACTTCTTATTTATGTTTTAAATAACCTGAAATTCATAACAAAAGGCAGACAGTTACAGAATAGTGTACATTGTATACATGTATCAGACATCTTCAATTTCATATGAACCTGAGTAAATACATACAAATAGAATTAAAGGTGAAATGCGAGAAACAGCATATATAGTATTAATTATAAGAACGGTTAACAAGTGTGGACGCAGACCAGCATGGATAGTATCCGGCATTCTGAGAGTATTGCTATCCCCTACCAGTTGAAATTATTTGTTCCCCAAAACAAAATTTGAACTTGATATGTAAATTGTCATGTTAAAACTATAGATACCAAATATCAAATCAGTATAATGGTAGTCTGGCATGACTAAAAAGAAAAGTGCAGAAAATTGATTAATTGTGTGATTTTTCTAGGACTAAGGATCATATAACTCTGCAAAATATCATCAAATCAGAACAAAATTCAAACTTGATCTGAAACTTGTAAAGGTTAAACTATATATGCAGAAAACAGATTACTTATGTGATTTTTCTGAGTCCAAGGGCCATAATTCTGCAAAAACTCATCAGACCGGAACAAAATTAGAACTTGATCTGTAACTTGTCATGGTTATATTATAATATACCAAATATCAAACCAATATCTTCAAGCATGACAAAAAAAGTGTGGAAAGCTGATTTCCCGGACGGATTGATTGACAGATGGACTGATGGACAGGGTGCAAACCTAAAGTCCCCTTCAACTTTGTTGGTAGGGGACTGTAAATGTAAGGGATAAATTTGTCCTGGTAAAATATGTCTGGGCGGACACATATTACTAGCATAAAAAGTCCATGGTTACAGAATTTACTAGTATTTTTAGTCCGATGTTAGTAATTTATGTCCCCAGACTAATTTTCCTAGGAATTCAAGTCCATGTCATTAATATTCCTAGGTAAAAACGTCCATGTTTTTTTTTTTAATAGGAAAAATATTAATGAATCAAATCATTTACATTTATACAATATTGGAAATTTAAATATTAAGTTTTAATATTGTTTAAGAGATGTGTATTTATATTTTTAATAAAATGTCCCCAGACTAATTTTCCTAGGAAATCATGTCCATGTCATTAATATTCCTAGGTAAAAATGTCCATGCCCTTTATTTTAAAAGGTAAATATAAATGTTATGTTTTAATATTGTTTAAGAGTTGTGTATCAATTTTTTTAATATAATGTTTGTCCCCAAACTAATTTTCCTAGGAAATCATGTCTATGTCATTAATATTCCTAGGTAAAAACGTCCATGCCATTTATTTTAAAAGGAAAATTTTAATGAAACAAATTATTTACATGAAAACAATGGAAATTCAATTTTTATGTTTTAATATTGTTTAAGAGTTGTGCATTAATATTTTAATAAAATTCATGTCCCTGGACTAATTTTCATAGGACATCATGTCCATGTCATTAACATGCCTACACTGGTTATAACGTCTGGCAATGTCCTTTTATTTTAATAGGAAAAATTAATGGAACTTTCCAATCTTAACTAAGAAAATATGTTGTTTTTTTTATTTGCAATAATTTTTAAAATATAAAAATTACTAGAAAAACAAGTCTTAGGACAATTTTTCTTAGGAAAATAAGTGCCAGACATATTTTACTAGCTATGGACTTATTTTCCTAGGAAAATTTGTCCTAGGACTTAAAGTCCTAATAAAATAATGGTCATGGACTTTATTAACTAGGAAAAAAAGTCTGGTGGACAAATTTTACTACCGGACCAAATTTACTGTTACATAAACATCAATTTAGAATCTACATAAACATTGTAACATTTAAACATTTACATGGAACTTAACATACCAGCTTTAAATGCTGCATATTAAATCATCTGAGCTCATCATTTAGAGGAAAGGTAACAGTAAGAATTAATTGTCATGTCAATAAATTGCTGTAGAAGAGCCCCAAAATGAGTATGCTGGACACCTATACAAATGTTATACATGTACGAATATATCCATTTGTCTCTAAGTATGTAAGACTGTTGGTCAACACTAAATGTAGAAAAGAAGTAACCTTAAAATTGGAGAAAAAGTGAAATTATATCACCAGTCCTATACAAATATGTGCATATTTCATTTTTCTTGAAATTAGCAAAAAAGAAACAAAAAAGTTTATTGAACGACATGGGATTCTGAGAAATAGGGTAATAGGCAGTTAGCGCCCTTCCTAGCAATTTCAATTAAACCAGATGCAGATTAAGGATTATGAAAAGGGAGAAGTGGGACATATAAAAATATGTACTATAATCATCAATTTAGCTTGAAAAGGCGGTGCGGACGGGACTGGTCCCTGTAAATCTCCCCCATCAAAATTCATACATTTCCAGGCCTGCTCAAGCCCAACTCTTGTAGGATTTCTTGCTGTGTTGAAGACACATTGATGGCCTAGCTTGGGTTGTTTTGTACATTTTGGAATGCACATTCCCCATTTCCATTCTTTATTCTTTTTGTATGCTATTTTATGTATGGACATAAGAATGCAGTGGACGATAACAAATTTCAGCATTTAAGGTGTTGGTGTTGGAGGAAGGCTACTTTTTTTTTATAAAAGATTCATGGTCTGAATGTTGCCCCCGTCCAAAACTTTTTCTTTTCGACTTAAAATTTATTAATTAGTGTCTTGTAAATTTTCAACGAGTCAGAAATACGTTTTGCAGATGAAAACGTGGAAATTATTGTTTGTAAACAATCTTTTTCAACTGTGAACTCTTAATTCAGACTACGTCATTGGGGCAGAAAAGGGGAATAATAAGTAAAAATTAGCTGGAAAGGTTAAATATTGGAGAAAATATCAAGATTACATAATTTCTAAATGATTTAACCAGTATGAAGTTTCATTTGATTCAAAATATGGACGTATTTTAAAAATAAGGAGAGGATTTTTCCCCCGCTACCTACAAATATGCTTTGGGGTTTACAGGCCGCTTAAGTATTTTAAATCGCCTGGTAACGTCATGTGACCATACTGTAGCTATTCTCCATGCCTCAATGTATCAAAATATACCAGTCATATTTATTTTCACTAGGTAAACCGGCGGTGTGACGATTCGTTTTGAGCTGAAAAATTGACCAGGGCAGTCGATGTGAAAAAAATGTCCGTTTCACAAAATGGAAATAATCGCTTGAATTTATTTAAATGGCTTATGTCATCTCGCTTTTTTTATAAATTTATTTTGCTTTAATACTTTAGATGAAATATGTTCTAGATCGGTCTATAATTCCGTTTATTTTAAATGAAATTTGCGATTTTTCGATGCGTCGTTCACGGCCAAATTTCTTTTTACCGCGGAGCGACATCTGTTGACAGCTTTTCCTCAAATTATCTCCACTTGATTCTCTTGTCGCATATCCGGGGTTTTAACGGACAAATCAGATGATTGCGTTCCGGCTGAAAATGTAAAATGTAATATTTAGTGATAAAATGGCACAAGAAGAAAAATCGCCGCTTTTAGCGGAAACAGATGGAGATGATTATATTTACCCTAATCCAAGAAAAAGAGTTTGGCATGTGCCACCTGAACTTAAAGGTGTTTTGAATGTGAATGGCACAATAAACACCAGTTCATCCTCGTCTTCCTTGGCCTGCGATTTCGATTTTGTTGTCTGTGTCTTTGTTGTAACATTTGATACAAGATCAGGTAAACACTAGTGGATAGTTTTCTCAAAAATAAGCGTGTTATTTCGATAAATAATAATTAACAGATTAATGACTGTACTGGTCGAGAACCAGATACCAGTTACTGTCACCTGCCGCTTTATCTGGGACTATTAAACTTTTATTAATAGTCCCAGGTTTTATTCAGTAACAGAACGTTACGTAAAGACATCAGACTGCTGATATCTTCAGACAAATAATATTGCTTCATTTGTTTGATCCGATGGGCCTATTTTAAAGAAAGGGTAATGCCGATTATTCTGTAAATTAAAAATGTCTTGGGAAGATACGTATATGGGGACATGAAGTCATTGCTTTATGACATCCTCAATTTTGAAAAAATTACTGATTTAAGACAAAGCAATATCAGGGCTCAAGCTAGCAGGCGACTGGGGCAAAGAAATTGCTTTCCCGTCCGTCACTTCGCTTTGACTGAGTGTCAAAAGCAATATCTAGTCGCCCTGGTGTTCACAATGGTCGCTTTCATCATCGGCAATTTTCAATTATTACCGAGTCAATGAAACAGCAGTTTTTCATTTATAAGTAGAGAAATTAAAAGACATAATTTATTTCTTCAGAAAAGAGGTGAAAGCATTGACTTTACAGATTCATTGGTTGTTTGTTCTTTCATACAGAAAACTTTATATCACTTCCGGTACTTATTACTCGAGAGTGTACATCAAAACATCTTGATTTTCAGCAAAATAAGTTTGCTACTTCATTGTAATGTGATGAAAATTGCCATTAGTTAATGTTTAATCCATTTATTGCATTAAAACGGTCATTTTCCTTTCCAAATCATTTGTCAAACATCATTTATTTTCTAAAATTTTCTTCATCCGCCATTGAAATATTTGTGCGAACTACGTAGCGGAGGTGGGATTTATCGGAAGCGGACCAGCTATGACAGAAATCCGTATTCTTACAATAATGGCAAACGGACGCACGATTGGCACAACTATATAGATGAATAATGATCCCAAATGGGAAAAATACGCATTCCAAACGCATTAACAGACTTTTGGCTAGATCTCCTTTCTTAATGTATATATTTCAATGTATATGCATTGTTTCAATTTATTGATTAAAGTTGCCTCACTTTGTTAAATTTACATATCTTTTTAATGAGAAACAATGAATTTCATAAACAAGATAAACAGAATAGTTTTTCAATTGAATTTAAATTGATGTATGATACTTTCTTTTCCCTTTTGATATACATGTAAACATGATAAAAAAAGTTCTTTTTAATGCTAGATATTTAGTTGGTAGTTTCTGACAAGAGGACTAATATTATTGTGCAACTACAAATGATTATTTAAGACATAAACTGAAAACTGAAACAACTGTTACTTTAATTGTATACTCAGGTATAAACTGAACAATATAAATATAAAAAAAAAATGGGATACATAAAGCCCTTTATATTGTAGATTAGTAGAAACCAAACATTGTAGCGTTGCAAGCGAATGAGCACTTCTCTTTCAAATCTCACCACTTCTCCCTATCAGTTTCAAAAAGAGAAGTCACTTCTCCCTATGATTCTGAAGTAGTGTGAGCCCTGAATATATAATCTTGCTTTAGAATATATAATTTCTTTCAAAAGAATCCCAAAAGATTTATAATTTTCAAAATTAAAATCTATGCGTCTTTTCAATACACTTTCATGACTGTAAGTGGTTTATTTCAAGTGATATAGTTTGAATTCAGACCAGTAAGGAGACCTTCCAAATAATGGCTAGAATGACGATGTGTTATGTTCAATTGACATGCCATTGCCTTCTTCTATTCTTGCTCCATAAAAGCAAAAAATAACATTATAGTGCTGATTACATATAAATTCTATCATTTAATGGCAAGATTCAAAAATGACAGTACCTGTCATCGTACCTACAAGATTTCCCGCAAAAATAAGCATACTGGTACATGTAACGCTTTTTTCTTTGTTTATTAGAGGAATTAAAGTCTTGAGTTTATGGTGATAAACCTAACTTTTGGTAACCCTTTTTATGTTAAAATAATATTTCCCAAAAATTTCCTAGTAAAAAACAATTTGAGAAAAAAAGTTAGTGGTTAAAAAGGCTCGTTTGAGGATTTTTTAACTGGAATGTAGACAGACATATTTGGACATCTATAAACTTCATAATATGTTGTTTGTTTAAGGCAATATGATAGAATGGTGTCAGCCTGAAGAGTTTGAACTGGATGGTGTTGAGTTCAAAGCAATGGTCAGTGGATCACATACTTTGCTGAAAGATTTTGTGTAAGTTAAAGAATAACACTGATGTAAAGTTCACCATATTCTTTGGATATGTATCCTTCCCTTTGTATCAAAACAAATTTTCGTATGACACCTTGCAAACATTTGTTAAACTGGTTCTGTTGAAATACTTGTCAAGTTATAAGTTGTAAAATTTTATATTTGTTTGTTTGTTTTTTTTTTTATAACCTTACTCTGAAGCAGGGGTATACAGGTTTTCTGTTTGCCGGTAATCCATTTCTTCCGCATTTTTTTCAGCAAGTACAGAGTTTCTTGATATATGCCATATGCAATACCATGTAATACATTTCCAGTTCCATCGATGTTTTACGTCGAGCTGTTAACCTTAAAATTATCACAATCAAATGTAAAATTTTCATTACATGTAATCTACAACATTGAGCGGGGACTGATATAATGAATTATGAATAGCTCACAGTATGTCTTTTCTTTTTTTTGCTGCAATGTGGTCTTTAAAATTGCCCTGTATACTGCTTTGTATTATAAGTGATTAGTCATTTTCATGCCCCTGCCGTGGTGGAGGGAGCATTAAGTGAAACCCTTGTCCGTCCGTCTGTCCCAAAATTAGTTTCCTTTCTCTATCTTTAGTTTGCCTCAACCAAATGTTATATAATATAGATACAATGGATAAGTGTTGGTTCTTTTTAACGACTTTTGTCAAGTCTTTTCAAAGTAACAGTTCTTTCATTAATGAGGCTGTATTATCAGTGACTGTACTGAAATTTCCCTTCAATTACTATGAATATTATCCGTAATTTACAAAATAAGACATATTCAAACTTATTTCTAAGTATATATAATATAATGTATGTTAACGAAATTTCTAGCAAGAAACCTATTTCTAGGCACATCACGATTTACTCGCCTAGGGGTTTTGCAAATAATCATTTGTAAACATATATATTAAAACAGATGAAATCATACTATATATATAAAACAAAAATGAACAAATTGAATGTAATCATTCTTTTCAAATACGTGAAGTAGCCAATAATAATTCAAAAATAAACGTGAAAACCTGCTATTATTACAAAAATATCCACAATAACATACAAAATAAAAAAAACAGAAAAACTAAAGAAAAGGGACAACAAAGAGAAAACATGGATTTAAACGAAAACTGACAAATCTATAACTTGACTACAACTCATTCATCTAAACCTTGCGGCTACCAACTTATACTATACGATTGTCTATTATGTATATATAAAGGCACAAGCCCTGTGGGTTGGTTGTACCGATGTGTATTATATGTTCATTGATATATATAAAGTAGACATCTAAATTGCAACCCATTGGAAGCTGAGAGGTTTTGTCGATGTGTTGATGTCAGTCACACAGTCAACAGACTTCAACAATGGGTTCGATTCCCAGTGAAGGCATATAAGAATTACAAAAGTTGAAGGTAAGTTTTTAAATTAATTCCATTAGTGAACAGAAATCAGTAAATTAGCCAATTCAAATTTAATGAAATTAAGCACACAAAGGAAACAATTGAATATAATTTGGTGAGTCCATTTCAGCTACAGATTTAGGAAGCGTTGATTCTAGAAAAGGAAACCATGGAAAATGAATCAACTGACATCGTGGCAATTGTTTAAGAAACACAATGCTTAATACCACAAAACACAGATCAAGTTAGAATTTGGGTTGCATCACTTTTATTGTTCTTGAGTTATGTCCCTTTATAACGTTATATGCAAGCGGGGGCATCATATGTGTCCAATGAACACACTCTCCATTTATTTGTCTTTGCATTTTGTTGTTAAGCATCAACAGCTGAGACATGGACCTACATGTACATTGCAGAATAGGCCAACTAAATTCATTTGTTTTATCTCTTAATAGAAAATTATTAAAGGAGATGTGGTATGATTGTCAATGAGACAACTATCCACCAAAGTTCAAATGAAGTGGATATAAGCAATCATAGGCAACTGTACAGCCTTCAACAATGAGAAAAACCCATACTATATAGTCAGCTATAAAAGGCCTGGACATGAAAATATGAAACAATTCCATTGAGAAAACTAACGGCCTAATTTATAACTAAACAATTTACGAAAAACAAATATGACAGACATGAATCAACGACAGCCACTGAACTACAGGCTCCTTACTTGGGACAGGCACATAAAGAATGTGACAGGGTTAACCATGTTTGTGAGTGCTCAACCGGGAGGAGTCAACCCTCCCCTAAGTTTGGACAGTGGTGTAACAGCACAACATAAGAACAAACTATAAAAATCAGTTGAAAAAGGCTTAACTCATCAGATCGATACAAAGCAGAAAAACATCAAACAAAAACACAGACCATACGTGGCAGGGTACTTATCCATCCCTAACAATAAAAAAGACACTAAGTACAGATCTGAGAGTACTTAAAGTTACTGACAGCTAGTTCAAAGCCAATAAAAACTAATAATATCTTGTTGATATATTCCTCACTCCGCACAGTATACAAATAGATAATAGGTCACGACCATAAGAGAATAACTGGTAACATTTATAAATTTATGTCATCATCAGAGCCTACGCATAGAATAGCTAATGAATATCATTAAATATTCCAGATATTTCCGTAAAGAAAATTTGTATGGTTTAGCATGCTTTGAAAACATGCATGTAGAGAGTGAGATTGAAAGAGGGGCAAGGATGAAATCAGTTGGGATATTATCAACGTCTTACACAAACTTATATAGGCATATGCAGTTTTTAGAAACACAAGTTAGGTAAGTTAAAATGAGCTTTGTAATACAAATTGAGTGCTTCTAATATATTTTTTTAATTGAATAGTATTTGATTTTTTTTTTGTGTAACTAAAAAGAATGACTTACTGGTAATCTGTATTGATCAGTAAAGACTTCATCCAAATATGCCTAGACTGCATTGAGACTGGATTGCTTTACTGCTTAAAGAAATAGCAAGATGAGCTTTACAAGTTATTTCAGCATCTGATTTTCCATTAGAATGTCAAGTTGTTAGGGGGCCTCAGTGGCAGAGTGATCTAAGTAGCCAAACTAATATATCACTAGCCTGTCGACACTGAGGTTGTGAGTTTAAATCGTGCACGTGGTAGGTGCACTGGACTCCAATCTTGATTGACTTGGATTGTCAGTTTTCCTACCTAAGGTTGTGGATCTCTTTGGTCATTCTGGCTTCCTTATCATTAAAATCTGACTGCCATGAAATAGCACAATAGTGCTAAAAGTAGCATTAAACACCGATCAATCAATCAATCATACCGCTTTAAAAGCTTACATGTTTTAAATTCATCAGACACTGAAATCATTAAAAAAAAAAAGCAATTTTCTAAGTGGTACATGTACAAAGTGTAACACTTGTCTTTGAGTACCTGCAGGAATCTCTTTTTCTTTCTCCATACTAATTGTGAAATTATATTTATAAATTTAGAATTATTACAAAAAGACTTATGTATTCAGTCTCCACCATTAGCCACTAGTCCCATGCCCCAGACTAGTAAAATTTGATTTTGGACTAGTAAGTATTTACAAAACTTTGTTTAGACACATTAGAAAAAAGTCGTAATATTGGTCTTTGGATTAGTGATTGGAAAAGATTTTGATGCAGACTGCTTAATATTGCCATGCTGCATTCTTAGAGTGAAAATTGTGTACATTATATATTAAAAGTGTATTTTTATAAATAGGCACCAGCTGGAAACCCCTGGGAAGTATTCAAATCTTGAAGTATTTTACCAAGATAAGAAAGGAACATTGAACAGTACTACGTCAATCCCACAGCAAATAACACCAAACTCTTCCTCATCAACTCCTAGTCAAGAAATATTACCAGAGATGAAGGTCAGCTTGTTTGTTTTATTTATATAAATTATGGTTGTAAAACATATATAGGGTCAACTGTTGAATATACATTATCTGATTATCAGATTGAAATATCCGATCATCCCATTGTTAAAATTTAATCAAAATATAAAATTTTCATCAGTGGCCAGGTTTTACATAAATGCTCATAATTAGTTAACTTTTTACAGTCTTCAGTAAAATTATGGAAGAGTTACCAGGTAGTCAACAAAATATTTCAGCAGAATAATCTAAGTATTGCAATGCCAATGTGAACATAAACATACTTGTGGGCCCTTATCAGCTTTTGTACTGCACATGTGCTTTCTTACCCTTGTGATTAACTTCAAATATAACTGTCTAACCCATGTGAAAATTTTTAACAAATCTATGGCTTCCATAAATTATATATTAAGAATTGTACACTATACATTTTACATGTATAATATATATATTTAAAGTTTCTAAACAAGTTCAGCAGAAATGGATATAAAAAAAAATATACATATTATGAAAAGATATTAAATGATGATGATCTTAGATACTAGGGCTCAGTCACCAACATTTTGTTGTTTAAAGGCTCTACTGCTTAATTGAAACTGTTTTATTAAATGCTATTGAGTTGTACACCCATTTTTGTTTTAGTTGTTTAATTGTGTTTATAGCAATATCCAGAAACTAGTACAATAATGAAAAAAAACCTCTTGTATCATTCTAGATAACCCACCCTGCTGGATGTTTTTCCCAATTCATGAAGTTTTTTGGAGAGAAAGTGTTTATATTATGGAAATTTGCATTGTTACAGCAAAGAATTTTATTTTTCTCGCCACCACCAATAGGTGTTGTATGTTATAGAGGTAAGATATACATGGACAATTTTATTATTATTATTATGGTGTGTATCTGAACAACAGTTACATATTGGTTTAGTAAACATCTGATTATACACTAATAGTAAACAGTCAAAATGAATATTTGAATTTAGGTTCAAAATGTAACCATTGATCTTTCAAGTTTTTATGCCCCAGTGGAAGCAGAGGGGGCATTAAGTTTTACCCTTGTCCGTCTGTCCGTATGTCCCAAAATTTGTTTCCGTTCTCTAACTTAAGTTTGCCTCAACCAAATGTTATGAAACTTATACACAATGCTTGTTACCACAAAACACAGATCAAGTTTGAATTTTGGTGGCGTCACTTTTACGTTCTAGAGTTATGCCCCTTTACAAATGGAAAAATTGCTGAATTTTTCGTTTCCGTTCTCTTACTTTAGTTTGCCTCAACCAAATGTTATGAAATTTATACACAATGCTTATTATCACAAAACACAGATCAAGTTTGAATTTTGTTGGCATCACTTTTACCGTTCTAGAGTTATGCCCTTTTACAAATGGAAAAATTGCTGAATTTTTTCAAATAAATGTTATGAAACTTATAAACAATGCTTATGACCACAAAACTCAGATCAAGTACAAATTTGGGTATTGTCACTTTTACAGTTCTTGAGTTATGTCCCTTTATATTGTTATATGCAAGCGGGGGCATCATCTGTGTCCCATGAACACATTCCCCATTTATTTAGGTTGACAGTTAAAAGGGTTTAATAAGAATCAAAATGAACCTTCTCCTTTGTTTTTTTTTAATCTCACATTATGTTTTTTGTTGTAATAGGTTTGGGCAAAATTTCATATCAAATATTTAAGGTAGTCTACTAGATGGGGTGTCTAAATTCTAATCCATAGAATTTTTTAATAATTTGACAAAATGTAGTTTATATCATGCTTTTTTAAAAAATAATAATGAAAAGAATGGGTCACGGGGCTTATTTTCACGCAAAAGGTTGTGCAAAATTGACAGATTTTGTATAGATTATGCATGGAAAATCAAATTTTCTGCAATAAAACGAAAACTATACCATAGAATTTTGAGATAAAATATGAGAAGATAGTTCTATTACAATGCTTTCAGATGAGAAAAAGAAAAAATGGGGTCATGGGACATGTTTTCTTGATACATAATAAAATAGGTAAATTCCTAACACATTCTGTTATAAAAGTAACTTTCTCTGAATTATCTGCCCTTACATTTGAGTTGCCTCCCCTTATGTGGCAAAGTTGCAAAAAAAAAGAATCAAACAAAAGTATTCTGTTTTTTTTTAAAATGCAACCATAAATATGATAAAACATGTCATTTTCTATACTTAAATGAAAATTCTTAAACATGAGTTACCTACTACTCTCAAAATGTGCACATTTTATTAAAGATCTAGACCGATTGTTTTCTGGTATTTCAAAATCCAAGATGGAGGAAGACACCTTATCTACCTTAACCGACCGTGCAAGGGCTGTATAGCCAGTCAAGGTTGTTAAAAACTTCCATTTGTTGTTGATCTACCTTAAAGAGGAAATAAAACTAATTATAATATTTCAGTTTACTGTGCGTGTTGCCTTGGAAACCATGATGTTGGAGGACTTGGTCATGAAATGAAACCTCACTTTTATGTCAATGTGGCTGATATAGAAACATTAGAGTCAGAAGTCTCATATATTGCATGTAATGTATTATTTATATATATGTCACTGCTTCTTTTCTCATGTAAGAACATGGTAACTGTATATGACTTACATAACATACAGTCGAACCTCGTTGTGTCGAAGTCGAAGGGACCGGACCAAAGTATTCACACATCCGAGGTTCGACTCATCCGAGGTCGAGTGTGTCGTCATAAATTTGGAATGCATGAAATACGGTATGAGATTTGTGTAAACTAGATACAATGAACAGTGTGCCTTTTTTCTGATGAGCCAGAGGTCGTCTGCTTTACAATAATTATCATCAATTTATCATAATTGTCCTAATCCTTTTATTTATTGTAATTAATGAGTTTTAAATCTATCGATTCATTTAATCTCGGCTTGGATCATTCAACACACTAACATTCCGCTTGAACGAACAACAAAGGTGTTAATAACCGGTCACCATAAACATGTCATTTTAACTGTTACAAAAACAAGTATGTTTACTCAACTTTAATCTCTTTTGAAAATGATTAGGTTGCATAAAAAATCATTATTAGGTCTGCAAAAAATCTTACTTTCGAACTTCGAGTCACCGGGGTCAATTTACATGAACTTTACATCGTCGGGACTATAAAATTTACTCGACTTAATCGAGTATTCGAATCAACCGAGTTCGACTCATCAGAGGTAATTATGCATTGATCAAACGGGAATTTTACCGGGACCGAGAAATTACTTCGACTCATCCGAGTTTTCGACACAACCGAGTTCGACACAACGAGGTTCGACTGTATTCACAACTTACCAATATACCGTAATGAAACATGATTGATCCAAAAACTAACCAAGAATTAAAAAAAAAACCATTACAATGTACCTAGTGAAATAAAGTTGGCCTGAAGACCAATAAAAAAAATAATAAGGCACCACAATGAACATAAACCAAGATTTTACTCAAAACAACAAAACAAAATTTTATGGCCCTGCTGACTTAGGTAGGGGCCATATAGTTTTACCCTTATCCTTCATTCCATCATTCTGCAACAAACAGTTATACAGATTTTTTTTTCTAAACGCCTTCACATATTGAGCTGATTTTTAATATGTGAGTTAACTATGATAAATTACAGATCGAGCTTAAGTTTGGTTCGGCTCCGCTGATTTTTGGCTAAATTACTAGCTTTGGACTTTGAAAATTTCATGAATATAACGGTTATACAGACTTTTTTTTCTAAATACCTTGACATATTGAGCTGACATTTAGTATGTGAGTCTTCTATACTAAGTTACAGATAGAGTTAATGTTTGGTTCTGCTTCGCTGATTTTTGCAGAAACTATGGGCTTTGGACTTTTGAAAATTTCATGAAAATAACAGATATATAGACTTTTTTTCTGAACGCCTTCACATATTGTGCTAATTTTTAGTATGTGAGTCTATTATGGTGAATTAAGGTTCCGCTCCACTAATTTTTGCCGAAATTACAGGCTTTGGACTTTTAAAATTTCCACTCCTTAAATGGCTTGAAGCTTTTTTTGCAAGTGAGGCCATTCATGTCGTTCTGACACATCTATTTCTTAAATATAGTACTGTAAATTATGTGATGTTTTTACTTTTGCGAAAATTGCAACAATTACATCATAAATGCTTTAAAATTTTATGAAATGAGAGTACATCTGGATTAAGTCAAAATCAATGATGCCATTAATGATTAGAGTTCTATATTTAGTGCAGGCATACTAGATCAACTTTTATCTATAAAATATAAACAACATCTGTCTTTTCTTTAGCAACAGCTTTCAAATTCAGACTACAGAATTGAGGACGTCAATGTAGTCTCCAGAAATTTATGATGCCAATCTCAGTATAATTATCAACCTCCCCAAAACAATGTCTTAAATTTGAATGCATCTATATTTTCAACTCCTGGTACTGTATCATATATACATTTAATTCATAATCTGATTATTAGTGTTTCAAATAGGATGGAAATTGAGTATACAAAAATCATGCAAGATAATGTTCAATTTTGATGAATGTATTCTTATTTTTAGTGGAGAATATAAATTATGTATCTGAATATTTCCTTTTGAAGGTACAACAGAGAAGATATTTGAAGTAAAAACAAGTCTTTATGATATATATGTTGATAATCAGGTTATCAGACCGTGTTCACCAATGCTGAGAGACTTAATGAAAGTCAGTGTAGCAGACAAAGATAAATTTGCCAAACTGAACAACCAAAGGTATGTTTAAAAGGTTTTTATGTGGCAACACATCACTGTCATTGATGATACAGCTATTTTTCTTGAGAAAGGTCTATCATTATTAGCTGTGATTCTGTTACAATCTCAGAATTTTCATTGTCACAATAATCAATAGATGTGTATTTTGGTTATCTTGTATTGTTTGGTTGATGACCTAATGACTCTTTAAGAGAGATGTATTCAAAAGTAAACAAGCAACCATACACAATTGTTTTGACAACTAGAAAAGTCATACTTTGTGTATTTTTAGGGGAAAGAAAAATAAAAATGTAAGCAAAAGCATCTGGAGAAGCATAACCTTCTTATAGACCCTAGGAAGGGTGACTTAAGAATAGAAATGTGGTCATCTGGGCTTCTCCAATCCGGTAGAAGGTCCATTTTTAAAAGGGAGGTCTCATTAGGTAGTCTGCTTTAATACACAATCTTTGCCAATCAGAATGGGGACATACATTATTTTTTTTCACAGAGTACCAGACACTTTGTTAATAAGTTACCTATGCAACAACCTCTCCAGGTATTAGATGTTCTTTTTATGCCCCACCTAGGGGCATTATGTTTTTCGGTCTGTGTGTACGTTCGTCCGTCTGTCCTGCTTCAGGTTAAAGTTTTTGGTCAAGGTAGTTTTTGATAAAGTTGAAGTCCAATCAACTTGAAACTTAGTACACATATTCCCTATGATATGATCTTTCTAATTGTAATGCCAAATTGGAGTTTTGACCCCAATTTCACGGTCCACTGAACATAGAAAATGATAGTGCGAGTGGGGCATCCGTGTACTATGGACACATTCTTGTTTAAGGCAAAATTTATTATAACCCTTGTTATTGAATAGTTATTTAATTTGCTATTTACCTGAAATTGCCTGAAATAATTGATATTGGAGGAAATAAAACAACTGCAAGTTACTTCTAGGGTTAAAGGTGAGATCGTAATCTCTATAGTTAATTCCTCAGCTGTTCAGATTGTAGAATCATCTAAATCAATAGCACTTGAGTATTCAATGTCTTCTGTTTGACCCAGCTGGGTAACAAAAGACTTCTTGCAGTAGGTCGAGCATGCAATCAGAGAAATACAAAGAGGAATATGTTGTTTTAGTTTTTTAGGGGTTCATCAAATTAATGTGCTTTATAACTATTACGTTCTACGTCACATTGTGTAAATGTTAATAAAGGTGATATATACTGTGGATTCATTTATTTTCATGGGTACCAATTTTCATGGTTTAAGGAAAAATTGTATTTTTGAGGCTATTTCATTTTGTGGTTTTTATAAAAGTCTGCATACAAGCCTTTAGAAAATTTGTACTTCGTTAAACATTTTACTTCATGGTTCACCTGAACCCACGAAATCTACGAAAATTGGTATCCTACGAATAATAATGAAATCCACAGTAGGTCAGAAAAAAGAATATTCCAATTTTAACCAGAGGACTAGAGTAAAAAATAGATTATGTATCCCATCTAGCCAAGCAGGAAAGTTCCTCCTAAAATGTCAAATGATCTAGGGCTTTTTATAGCTTGCTATGCAGTATGGGTTTTGCTCATTGTTGAAGGTGTACATTGACCTATAGTTACTTACTTCTATGTCATATGGTCTGTAGTGGAGAGGTGGCATTCAGATCACATCTTCTTATTTTTATGTTGCTATAATGAAAAATTAACTTGCCTTTTTAGTTTTTCATAAATTTAACTAACCAAGTGATAGACAGATTTGGCTGGCCCTAAATGCTTGCCATAGGCCATAGACCAGAAGTAGACTACTTTTTAAATCCAGTATTCATGTTCAAGTAGCTAATAGTTACCCTTTTACACATGTACAAATAACAACTAACATTTTTTGTAGGTCAGCATTACAGTATAACTATGAAGACCAAGGGATTGATGAGGAAGAGCTATTTACAACGTAGGTTTTTTATAAGACGGCAAAAAAAATTTTGCAGTCGTATATTGGTATCATGTCGTCAGCGCCGTCCAAAGACATTTGGTTTCCGGACAATATCTTTAGTTTAAGTGTATGAATCTCTTTGAAATTTAAACAAAAGGTTCAATACCACAAAAGGAAGGTTGGGATTGTTTTTGGGGGTGATGGTCCCAACCGTTTAGGAATTAGGGGCCAAAAAGGGGCCAAACAAGCATTTTTCCAGTTTCAAGTATTTTGATTGCTCTGAAATTGTACCACAAGGTTTAATACCACAAGTAGAAGGTTAGGATTCATTTTGGGGGTAATTGCCCAAACCGTTGAGGAATTAGGGGCCAAAAAGGGTCTAAAACAAGCATTTTTCTAGTTTTCAGGCAATAACTTGTGTTTAAGTGTATGGATGTCTCTTAATTTGTACCACATTTAACAAAAAGAAAATTTCTTCAAAATTAATTTTTTTGGATAGGGGATGGGGTGGGGGGGGAGCCAATTTTTTTTCCTCAAAAGAAAATTCTCTTCAAATATTTTTTTTGGAGGGGGGTAAAAACAAAATTTTGGGAGGGGGTAAAAAAAAATTTTTTTTTGTGGGGGGTCAATTTTTTTTGCCTCAAGATTTAAGAAAAATTGGGGGTCACAATTTATTTTGCTAATTCTTTGTATATAGTCTGAAAACAGATTTACTAAGTATTGCACAACAGCAAGAAATCTTCAATTGAATATAAATTCAAATCATACATTTGAATTCCTGACAATAACTTTAGTTTAAGGATGTTCGCTCCTCTTGTTTTTGAATTTTTGCCGGATTTTCGGAATCCTCTGGTTTTATCCATTTAGTGCCATTAAAAAAATTTGCCCACTAACCCCTACTTTTCTTTTCATCATTTTATTACATATAGTTTAAGGAGCCATATTTGAAAATCTAATAAAATCCTTGTTATTTTTTCATTTTTTTTGAAAGACAAAAGGTGTCAATGTTAAATGTAAGAAAAATCTAGAGAGAATCATTTCCCGCCAGATTTTCAATGGCTTATATCTCGAAAACAAGCACACGGACCCATCATTTTTTTTCTGCTTTTTTAGTTTCTTTATTTATATACTATCAATTCATAACAGTCTTTCAAAAAACTTGTTATTTTGAAACAGAGTAGCGAACATCCTTAAGTGTATGGATCTCTATGAAATTTAACCAAAAGGTCAATACCACATAAGGAAGGTTGGGATTGTTTTTGGGGGTGATGGTCCCAACCGTTTAGAAATTAGGGGCCAAAAAGCATTTTTCTAGTTTTCAGACAATAACTTGTGTATGGATGTCTCTTAATTTGTACCACATTTTACAAAAAGAAAATTTCTTCAAAATTATTTTTTTTGGACGGTGGGGGGGGGGGGAGGGAATTTTTTTTCCTCATAAGAAAATTCTCTTCAAATATTTTTTTTGGAGGGGTGTAAACAAAATTTTTTTTGGGGGGGGTAAAAAAAATTTTTGTTTGGTGGGGGTAAAACAAAAATTTTTGGGTGGTTGGGGAGGGGGTCAATTTTATCTTCCTCAAGATTTAAGAAATTGTCAATTTTCCAAAGAAAAAAATTGAGATCACAATTTATTTTGCTAATTCTTTGTATATAGTCTAAAAACAGATTTAATAAGTATTGCGCAACAGCACAGTGTATTGCACAACAGCAAAAAATCTTCAATTGAATATAAATTCAAATCATACAACCAATTTCAAGTTCTTTGGCACATTTATTCTGTGTCAGAAACCTATAATGTGTCAAATATTTAATCACAATCCAAATTCAGACCTGTATCAAGCTTGAATATTGTGTCCATTTTTGCCCCAACTGTTCAGGGTTGGACCTCTGCGGTCGTATCCAGCTGCACTCAGCGAAGCAGTTTATTTAAAATTTAAAGGATATAACTACTTGTTTAGAACAGTAGTCTCTTATGTTAACTGAATAGTGTTAATTGCACAATATGGTATTTTTTTATAAATTGATTGGCCACTTTTACAAAAATCTTCTCCTCTGAAATTACTCGGTCAAGTTTAACCAAACTTGGTCACAATCATCATTTGGTTATGTAGTTAATGTCTGAAGACAGTGCCTCCCAACCAACATGGCCAACATGGCTAAAAATAGAACACGGGGGTCAAATGCAAGTTTTGTCTATTATCTTGAAAACTGAGATTTATAGAGAAAATCTGACAGGAAAAATGTTAATAATGTTGAGATCTACCTACTGTTCTTGTACGTCAAAACTGTCAGATAAATTCAGGAGTTATTGCCCTTTAATGACGAATTTTACCAATTTTTTGGGTAAAGATTGCTTAAAATGCAATTAAAACCCTATTGTACTGACTATATCTTAATCTTCCAAGGTTTATCACTACTTTTGAGATACACAAAATATAGTGCATTGATCATAATATTCTGAACATCCTATCCATGAACATTTTCAGAAATGTATCAATGAAATTTATGCTCAGATATTCAAGTTACAAAATGATGTTATACTTGTCAAGAAAATGACATAACTTTGTGCAAGGTGCAGGAATCTAATATCTGTTCTTAAATATCAATAATGTCATTGTTAAAGTAATCTTTAAAATTGGAGTTATCTTCGTTTGTCCATAGTTTTAGTTGAATCAACTACAACCAATGCATTATACAATGCAATGTTTAATTTTACTTCCCACTGATAAATGAAAGCAATCTTTACCCTTTAGCGCTTACAAGCACTTCATTTTTGCATATTATGTTGAAAACTATTAGATACAAAAAAAGTTTAATTAGAAAAATGATCAGCAAGACAAGATCTACAAAGAAGTCAGCATACTTGAAATTGTTAGACGACTCCTTATTTGAGTTATTGACATTTAATGACGATTTTTTTGCATTTTAAAAACTATAATAGATAGAGAAAAACTTATAAAGCCAAAAGCCGAAATGATCCATACAAGATCTATGAATACAAAGATATGACCGAAATCGTCAGTCGACTCATTATTGATTTGATTTTGATTTTTGATTTTTGGTGTTTTAACGCCACTTTTAAGCACCCCTTTTGGGCTATTTCGTGGCGGCCAGTTTTTATTGGTGGAGGAAGCCGGAGTGCCTGGAGAAAACCACTGACCTTCGAAAGGAAAACTGACAATCCTAGTCAATTAAGATTGGATTCGAGTGCACCAGCGGGGTTCGAACTCACAACCTCAGTGTTGACTGGCTAGTGATTACAGTAGTAACTACTTAAACCACTCGGCCACTGAGGCCCCCGACTCATTATTGAAGTTTATTGCCTTTTAATGTTGATTTTTTATGCCCCCACTGTAGGGGATGGGGGCACAGGGGCATTAAGTGTTACCTTGTTACCTTTGACCGTCCGTCCTTCCGCCCTTCCTTCTGTCTTTACGTCCTTCCCTCCGTACCATTTTCGTTTCTGCACTCTTAACTTAATTTTGCATCATGCAAATTTATGAAACACTTACAAAATGCTAAGAACCAAAAATGGCAGACAGAGTTTGAATTTTGGCCATAAGTCGTAAATTTTATGAAACTCATACACAATGCTAAGAACTAAAACTGCCAGACAGAGTTTGAATTGGGCAGTGAGTAGCTTACTGTTCTAGAGTTATGCCCCTTTATAACTTGGAAAATTGCTAATTTTTCGCTTCCACACTCCAACTTAAGTTTGCCTCATGCAAATTTTATGAAATTCATTCACAGTGATAAGGACCACAACACAGAGAAAGAGTTCGAATTCTAGAGTTATGCTCCTTTTTAATTTGAAATAATGCAAAGCTTCAGCTGGGGCATTCTTGTCCTCAGACACATTCTTCTTTTAGCGCCATTTTTTTTGCATTTTTGCCTATTATCTTGAAAATTTTAATATTTATATTTATTGAAACATTGAATAATAATCAGCAAGTCAAGATCTATAAATAAACCATCTTGGCTGAAATCTGCAGTTGACTTGTTTTCTGAGTTATTTACCTTTAATGATGATTTTTATAATTTTTTTTGTATTTGCTGTTATCTTAAAAACTATAATAGATACAAGTGTAGATAGAAACTTTAAAAAGCAAAAACTATCAGCAGGACCACAAATAAGTCAACATAACTGAAATTTTCAGTTAACTCTTTATAGCTATATATAGTGTTATTGCACTTTTATAATGATTTTTACTACAAAGTGGCCATTGTTAAAGATGCAGGTGAGCAAGACAGGCTCTTTAGAGCCTTTAGTTACATCTATCGTGCAGCCACTTCCTGTTTGCCAATAGTTTGAGACTTAACAGCACTTATTGTACAAGGAAAATTTTAATCAAAGTCTTCTTGACTTTAATGAAAGAGAATGATCAGTCAGTACTTCACCCTGTGCCCTTTTTCTGATGCCCTGTGCCCTTTTTAAGACGCCCTGCCCTTTTTCGCAAGTCCATGCCTTTATTGTCGTAATATTTTGATGAAAATACTATAATTCTACCTGTCTTCAAGTTTATGACCCTCAGCTAATTAACATTTACAGCAGGTGTTATAATTTGTGATTACAGGTAATCCGCTTATCGGCATCATATGGGTCACTAATCTGTTAATTAAACCTCATAATTGACCATTATATAATTATTTTTCCCAGTAAAAGCGGTCAGTCGGCATTTCAATTTCAATATTTCTCAAAAGACCACAATTTGCAGTTTGTTTTATCCATGGCAAAGTTGTTTTTGTAGCTTCGTCAATTGAACAAAACTGTTTTCCCTCGGACAGTTCGCAATTGCATCTTAATTTCAAAATTTCTCAAATGATCATTAATTGCAGGTAGGTTGAGGTATTTTCGTCATTTGAACGTATTTTCGTCACATTTTATATAACTTTTTATTAAAATCTTTAGACAATTTCGATTATAAAGATAAAACTTTATTCAAAAATATTTTCACGAGTCAAAACAGGTGCTTTCTTTATCATAATATATCTTACTGAGCAACTTAATTTTAAAAAATGATAATTTTCTGCCTTTTTGTTAAACACGAACCAATCTGTAGATGAATCTGGATTCATTCTAAATATACTATCCTCTTGTCACTTCCTGTTTTCATTTCGTTTTAAAATCAAAAGTAAAAGTGATCTCCTCTTGATAAATTTAAAATTTATAGTCATTTTAATCGTTCCAAGTTTATAAAAATGAATTCCAAATATCGATTTTTTTTTTATCAGGATGTCCCCTGAAAATAACAGAAATTGTGAACTAGATCCTTGTTCTAATATTCATATTTAAGCATCACATCAGACAAATCATGCCATGACTGCCTACATTTAAGCATGCCTAAAGCATAAAAAGATCCTTGTCCTTGAAGTACTTGGCCATATATATAGCTAGTTATATACGTCCTTGGTCCCATACTGTTACCCAAAATAAGGTTGATTTTCATCTCGCGTAAAAGTGACTAAAGCCCTCAAACTCCTAGCTGAAAACCCTGCTGTTTACATATGGCAATGTTAGACATGCCCTTTTGAATTAGATATCAGCGTTCTAAAGTCCCCTTTTTCGTGATTGGCTCCCTGCCCTTTTGAAATCCTAGCTGGAACACTGCATGGTATTGGTCTTGATTTTGGGGGGTGTCATCCTGGTTTGCCCACTTTTAATTGCAGGTTTATAAAAACATAGGATGTTTTGTTGTTTTAACAATTATAGTTTATTTCTGAATTATACTCATATTTTTTACCTGTATTTTACCTGTAAAATTTTATAAAACATACTTAATTCTGCTATTAAATCAAGGGAAAAGTGCAAAAATATTTTATATTTTATATTTTTTTAGAAGGAAAATGTATTGAATTTGTCAATAAAAAAAAATATGGACAAAAATGTAAACAAAAATGTTTATTATTTTGACAATTTATCAACAAATTGTTTTCATTGTTGGTAAATTCTTAAAAAAAAATGTAAAAAGTAAATTAATGAAACTTAAGATTAAAATAAGTGTCATTTAAATTTCTGTTCATTTATTCACCTTATTTATTTTTTAAAAATTTTGATAGATGCACTGTTCTGAAATTTAATAAAAAAGTATCCAATTAATTCTAACAAATAAAATACAAATGCAACTGTTCAGTAGCCAAGCTTTACATATTACTCCTGCAAGACAGCACTCTACCACCAACTTTGTGAATATAATGTTTTGTGACTTTTGAAATATATATAAAAGATTGTAAAACCATAGTGCTTTATTTATTTCCTTATGCAATGCATGTATAAATTTGATTCATATAAATAAAGAATTATTAAGACACTTTTATAAATGAATGTCATTGTTTTGTCATTAGTTGTACTTGTTTGTTAAATGAATCGATTGAATTGATATTAAATAATTGAGAAAAAAAAAATATTTGATTAATTTATTACCAACAGTTAAGGAATAAGGGGCCAAAAATAAGCATTTTTCTAGTTTCATGACAATAACTTGTGTGTAAGTGTATGGATCTCTCTGACATTGTACCACAAGGTTCCATATCACAAAGGGAAGGCTGTAATTGATTTTGGGGGTAATTGCCTCAAAATTTTAGGAATTAGGGGCCAAAAAAGGGACAAAAAACAAGCATTTTTCTAGTTTCAGGACAATAACTTGTGTGTAAGCATATGGATCTTTATGAAATTGTACTACAAGGTTCCATATCACAAAGGGAAAGCTGGGTTTGAGTTTGGGGGTAATTGCCCTAAACGTTAAGGAATTTGGGGCCAAAAAGGGGCCAAAAAACAAGCATTTTTCTAGTTTCCAGACAATAACTTGTGTTCAAGTGTATGGATCTCTCTGAAATTGTACTGCAAGGTACCATACCACAAAGGGAAGGCTGGGATTGAGTTTGGGGTGATGAATCATAAGGGGGTTCAAAAAATTTTGGGGGGGGGGGGATTTTTTTTTCATTTTTTTTTCTTTAAAATTTTCCATTTTAAATTGGTTATTTCTGATTTATATATAAAAGCAAATAATAATGATATGGTTTGAATAGGTAAATTAAATTTTTTTAAGTTCTTAGACCACATCCATTCTGTGTCAGAAACCTATGCTGTATCAAATATTTAATCACAATCCAAATTCAGAGCTGTATCAAGCTTGAATGTTGTGTCCATACTTGCCCAAACTACAGTTGTTTATTACTGACAAAAAACTGAGAATGTTTTTTTTATTATACTGTAATATTTAAATGTGTACTTGTAGATTAAAAGAAATGCAGGCATCCAATATTTTATGGTAATATTCTTTACAAAGCACATTTTCACTGAACTAGCACACAATTTTATTTAGGGGTCAGCTGGGGACCACCTCCGGGTGCGGGATTTCTTCGCTGCATTGAAGACCCATTGGTGGCCTTCAGCTGTTGTCTGCTCTTTGGTCGGGTTGTTGTCTCTTTGACATATTCCCCATTTCCATTCTCAATTTTATACTTTTTTTTTATTTTAGATTTTTTACTGAACAAAACAACCGAATATTCCAAACTTTATTAGAAGCATCATGTTCACAGGACAGACAGTTAACATCAGAACACATGAAAAACATGGGACTAGATCCCTATGGAGATAGAACATTCCTGATGGAATTAGTAGAGCATTATGGGATAGATGTCATGTTGATGGTGGATAACCCATGTTGTCCCAAGTAGCAACAGGAAGGATGAATGAGGGAAAATGAAATTATGATTGTTTCTTTATTAAAATGTGAATTTTTAATTTTCATCATGGAGGCATTGAAATAAATGATTCTGTCTTTTTTTAATTTCAACTTAAATTTAAATTTAATATAAATATTTAAATCATGGTAATAGACCTGTCTCAGGAGGCCAGTATGAGCTTTCTTGATCAATTGTAGCTAAATTTGCAATTTGAACTTTAGTCAAAATAAAATTAATTTATGTTTCATATAAATGACTGAACACTTTGTTGGATATTGTAGCTTTATATGATTTTTTTAAGAGTAGGAAGCTGTCCATTTTTAGATAATTGACAATAGCATCATTTTCATTATAAATTATTTTTAGATTTATGTAAAAATGAACTTCCTTATATGAATGACGTTGAGGGAAAACTGTAATTTTACTTAATACTGTCTTCTAAACCATTTATATTGGATTATGACACACCAGAAATGTGGTTTATAGGGTATATATATACAGATTTTACTTGTCAGACTCTGTCAATACTGGCGTACACATTTCATGGACAGAAAGTATTAATTAAACATTTTACTTTTGTGTTTCAAATTTCTAGCATGTTAAAACTGTTTTGTTAAGCTGAAGCAACAAATATTTTGATATTACATTTTGCTTTAAAATATGGCAAGATAAGGGTTTACTACAATTTGGTCCATATGTCCTTCATTTCAAGATAAGACTTTTATGAATTTATTTCTGTAATCAATGATGATACATGTATAAATAGTTATTAACATGCCACACCTAGGATTCTCACACATTGTACAATATGTTTATTAGTACAATACTCTTATTAGTGAATTTTACATCTATGACTTAAATATTTTGCTCAAGTTTGCATAAAGTTAAGATTTTAGAAACAAAATGTGGTATGTCATTGATATTTTGCAACTTCATTCAAATTTATATACAAATCTGCAACATTTAGGTCAACATGAGCTGAGTTCATATTCAAAACATACCGTAGATTCCTCATCATTAGTAGGGTAGCAATTTTCATGGATTTCGTTGATAAACGGGAACCATAAATTGTTGTGTAACGAAGTACACATTTTTCATTGGCTTGTATGTGGACTTTGACAAAACCATGAAATCAAGTATCCATGAAAACACTGTTTTGCCTCAATCTTTGAAAACAGATACACACCAAAATAAATGAATCAACTGTACATAATATTATATCTATGATATTATTCCACAATTTTTTATCATATTGATAAAAACAGTGTTTCATGCTTTATATACCTACATTATATGCTTGAATGCTATTTTCAGATCTTGCATTTAAGTTTAGAACTATATATGTATACCTCCTTTTAAATACTTTTGATTGGTAAAACTGTTTTTTTTTTTTTTTTTACAAAAATAACATCATACACAAATTTCAAATTGGTATTATTATTATTGTGTTAAATACACTCCAGAATCGAACATATTGAGGTATTATATTATTTGATTATGCATATTTTCATTCTTTTATCAGTCATTAGGATTTTGTTATAAATGTAGAATACTCTTTTCCTTGTTACAAGATTACCTCGCACCGAATATACCAAAACATTAAGTGTGGAGTACACGTCTTGTACAGTAAATTGATGTCATACATGATTCATTTCTATTAGTTATTAAATTAAACGCTTCGTATGAAATTAAATCAAGCTAAAATTTCATGGCTACTCAATATTTTTTTTTGCTTTATTGTAATTCAGTTTCTAGTTAGAAAGATTTGACAGATAGAAAATTGCTACAGAAGTATGTGAACTGTGGAGATAAAGATTTGACAGATAGTAAATTGCTACAGAATTATGTGAACTGTGTAGATTTGTTTATGTCTTTTAATGTTTCTTTCACTGATGATTGTTAATAGCTAGAACTGAAGACAAACGTCAAAATCAAGTAGGATACATTTGTGGATTGATTGAATGGAGATAAATATTATTGTCTCAACAAAGTCTAAAAAGTGAGACTAAGGCGTGCTGTTTTTGCTGCAGTGTTAACAATGTATTAGTTTGTGATTAGGTCAGTTTAAGGGGAACCACTAGTGGTAGGTCAGTGATATTTTGTATGCAGCTGTATTAACATTGGCTCATCTCATTTTCATAGAGATTACTTGGCCCCAGTCATGGTCTATTGATTTTGAAACTTTTGCTTAGTTAACATGTTAAAGTTTATTATTAGGTTAATTTAATAGGAATAACTAATGATAGTTCAAAAATATTTGGTATGCAGTTGTATTAGTACAGTATTGGCATTTCTTATTTCCAAAGGAATTAATTTTGCCTATTACCTATAGTCATGGTTCATTGACTTTGAATATTTTGCATTTTAAAGTATTGGTAATTTGATTTCAACATTTACATTTTTTTGCTATCAAAATTACTTACAGGCGAGACATATCTCTGTGTCAACAGTTTATTTAAAATATTTTTTTATGATATTGTACAGGAGTAAAACGTCTTTCATAATATTGCTTTATGAATTATATTGGTTATCATGTTACCAAGGAAAATGTTACTGCAATGCCATATCAAGCATCAATTATTAATTTGTATATTGTAATACAATAATTGTATATTGTTGAAACATCTTTTATATTGTTTGAAAGATAGAAATAGAATTGTTATTTAATGATCTGAATGTATTTGTGCCAAATAAGAATTGAAATGACAAAAGTAGTACATGTCTGTAATTTTAGGTCATATGAAAATTTTGTTTTAATTTTATTAGTTCTAAAATTATTTATATGCCATATACCATTAATTAGCTTCTTTTTACCACTAAACAACAATGAAAACATTTCCAATACATTGCATCACTAAACACTTTATATTTTTCCATAGGAACATAATAAGATATAGGATAAAAGCCAATGAAGCAGGAATCTTAACAAAACAGTAAAACCAAGAAGACATCTTAATATCTTCAATGACATTTATGTGTTTCTACCATATGTCAATTTCTAAAAAGCCTTGAGTTTACACAAGTAGAGAAGCAAGCCAGCACAGACAACCAATGCTCTGCTGTTAGCACCACATTTCTGAATGGACATAAAATGCTAAGAAACAATAAGAATCTTTAATGAGGTTTGTGGACAGGAATTTGCTTTTAAATTATTGGAAAGTTCTATAAATGAAAATGCATTAGAAATATTCTTACCAACTATTACCTCACCATCAAACCCCAAAACGGACCACAGAACATATGTAAATATAGGTTAATGTATTTTATTCAAAATTGATTCCTGATGTCAAAACTTTATCTTTGTGAAAATTATTTAGAAAATTAACAAAAAAGTGCAAACAGAGCCCTTGCTGACATGTCATTTTCTAGTTTATTTTTAAGAATAGTGGTTTTAATCTGGGAGAACATGATTTATTTATTAGTTGTTTATTGGATTTGAGCAAGCTGTACTGTTAGATTGGTACTTTGTCTTTTGTCCTATGCTAGTGGTTTTTATACGACCGCAAAAATTGAAAATTTTTTGGTCGTATATTGGTTTGACGTTGGCGTCGTCGTCGTCGTCGTCGTCGTCGTTGTCGTCGTCTGGCGTCGTCCGGCGTCGTCCGAAGACACATTGGTTTTCGCACTCTAACTTTAGTTTAAGTGAATGGATCTCCATGAAATTTTACCATAAGGTTCAATACCACGAAAGGAAGGTGGGGATTGATTTTGGGGGTTATGGTACCAACAGTTAAGGAATTAGGGGCCAAAAAGGGGCCAAAAATAAGCATTTTTGTAACTTCCAGACAATAACTTGTGTGTAAGTGTACGGATCTCTCTGACATTGTACCACAAGGTTCCATATCACAAAGGGAAGGCTGTAATTGATTTTGGGGGTAATTGCCTCAAAATTTTAGGAATTAGGGGCCAAAAAAGGGGCAAAAATCAAGCATTTTTCTAGTTTCATGACAATAACTTGTGTGTAAGTGTTTGGATATTTCTGAAATTGTACTATAAGGTTCCATATTACAAAGGGAAAGCTGGAATTGAGTTTGGGGGTAATTGCCCGAAACGTTTAGGAATTGGGGGCCAAAAAGGGGCCAAAAATAAGCATTTTTCTAGTTTCCAGACAATAACTTGTGTTCAAGTGTATGGATCTCTCTGAAATTGTACTGCAAGGTACCATACCACAAAGGGAAGGCTGGGATTGAGTTTGGGGGTGATGAATCATAAGGGGGTTCAAAAAATTTGGGGGGGGGGGATTTTTTTTTTTCTTTTTTTTTTCTTTTTTTCCTTTTTTTTTTCTTTTAAAATTTTCCATTTTAAGTTGGTTATTTCTGATTAATATTTAAAAGCAAATAATAATGATATGGTAGGAGATACACACCAAACAGGATGTGTAAATTATTATATAATAAGTATTGTGCAATAGCAAGAAATTTTCAATTGCACAGTATTGCACAATTGCAAGAAATCTTCAATTGCACAGTATTGCGCAATAGCAAGAAATCTTCAATTGCACAGTATTGCGCAATAGCAAGAAATATCCAATAGCACAATATTGCGCAATAGCAAGAAATTGTCAATTGTACAGTATTGCACAATAGCAAGAAATATTCAATTGCACAGTATTGTGCAAAAGAAGATACTTCGTATAAATTGCTTATTTCTTGATCAATTTCAATGGGGTTTTATTCTTGAATTCTTGGGGTTCTTTAATATGCTGAATCTAACCGTGTATTAAGTTTTTGGATTTTGGGCCCCGTTTTTAAATTGGTCCACATTGAGGTCCAAAGGGTCCAAAATTTAACTTCGTTTGATTTCATCAAAAATTGAATTATTGGGGTTCTTTGATATGCCGAATCTAACCGTGTATTTAGATTCTTAATTTTTGGTTCCGTTTTCAAATTGGTCTACATTAAGGTCAAAAGGGTCCAAAATTAAACTTAGTTTGATTTTAACAAAAATTGAATTTTTAGGGTACTTTGATATGCTGAATCTAAACATGTATTTAGATTTTTGATTATGGGCCCAGTTTTCAAGTTGGTCCAAATCGGGGTCCAAAATTAAACTTTGTTTGATTTCAACAAAAATTGAATATATGGGGTTCTTTTATATGCTGAATCTAACCATGTATTTAGATTTTTGATTTTTGGGCCCAGTTATCAACTTTGTCCACATTGAGGTCAAAAGGGTCCAAAATTAAACTTTGTTTGATTTCATCAAAAATTGAATTCTTGGGGTTCTTTGATATGCTGAATCTAACCATGTATTTAGATTTTTTATTTGTGGACCCACTATCAAATTGGTTCATATTGAGGTCAAAAGGGTCCAAAATTAAACTTTGTTTGATTTCATCAAAAATTGAATTATTGGGGTTCTTTGATATGCCAAATCTAACCGTGTATTTAGATTTTTAATTTTGGGTCCCGTTTTTAAATTGGTCTACATTAAGGTCCAAAGGGTCCAAAATTAAATTTGTTTGATTTTAACAAAAATTGAATTCTTTCTGGTTCTTTGATATGCTGAATCTAAACATGTGTTAAGATTTTTGATTATGGGCCCAGTTTTCAAGTTGGTCCAAGTTGGGGTCCAAAATTAAACTTTGTTTGATTTCAACAAAAATTGAATATATGGGGTTCTTTGATATGCTGAATCTAAACATGTATTTATATTTTAGATTTTTGGCCCAGTTTTCAAGTTGGTCCAAATTGGGGTCCAAAATTAAACTTTGTTTGATTTCAACAAAAATTGAATATATGGGGTTCTTTGATATGCTGAATCTTACCATGTATTTAGATTTTTTATTTGTGGGCCCGCTATCAAATTGGTTCATATTGAGGTCAAAAGGGTCCAAAATTAAACTTTGTTTGATTTCATCAAAAATTTAATTATTGGGGTTCTTTGATATGCCAAATCTAACCGTGTATTTAGATTTTTAATTTTGGGTCCCGTTTTTTAAATTGGTCTACATTAAGGTCCAAAGGGTCCAAAATTAAACTTAGTTTGATTTTAACAAAAATTGAATTTTTGGGGTTTTTTGATATGCTGAATCTAAACATGTGTTTAGATTTTTGATTATGGGACCAGTTTTCAAGTTGGTCCAAGTTGGGGTCCAAAATTAAACTTTGTTTGATTTCAACAAAAATTGAATATATGGGGTTCTTTGATATGCTGAATCTAAACATGTATTTAGATTTTAGATTTTTGGCCCAGTTTTCAAGTTGGTCCAAATTGGGGTCAAAAATTAAACTTTGTTTGATTTCAACAAAAATTGAATATATGGGGTTCTTTGATATGCTGAATCTTACCATGTATTTAGATTTTTTATTTTGTGGGCCTGCTATCAAATTGGTTCATATTGAGGTCAAAAGGGTCCAAAATTAAACTTTGTTTGATTTCATCAAAAATTGAATTATTGGGGTTCTTTGATATGCCAAATCTAACCGTGTTTTTAGATTTTTAATTTTGTGTCCCGTTTTTTAAATTGGTCTACATTAAGGTCCAAAGGGTCCAAAATTAAACTTAGTTTGATTTTAACAAAAATTGAATTCTTGGGGTACTTTGATATGCTGAATCTAAACATGTGTTTGGATTTTTTATTATGGGACTAGTTTTCAAGTTTGTCCAAGTTGGGGTCCAAAATTAAACTTTGTTTGATTTCAACAAAAATTGAATATATGGGGTTCTTTGATATGCTGAATCTAACCATGTATTTTGATTTTGGACATTGGACCATAATAGGTAAATTAAAAAAATTGAAGTTCTTAGACCACATTCTTTCTGTGTCAGAAACCTATGCTGTGTCAAATATTTAATCACAATCCAAATTCAGAGCTGTATCAAGCTTGAATGTTGTGTCCATACTTGCCCCAACTGTTCAGGGTTCAACCTCTGCGGTCGTATCAAGCTGCGCCCAGCGAAGCATTTTATTTGTGTTTGTTCCAATTTGAAGGTTCAAGCCATTTTCAACTGATTTGGTGTTCATGGATACAAAAGTGTGCACATGCAACTCTTTTTTGTTTGGTTGCAATTTTTTGACAGATTAATCAATCATAGTTATTACTAGAAATGTGTTTATATTTCTTTTCAATATAATGTTAACACATGCAGAATAGTATTGGAAGTTCCTAGGTGTTGGATGGTTAAAATTACATCATTTGAAGTGGTATAAGGATATTGTTTTAGATGTAGAAAAGAGTAAAAGTTGAATTTTCTTTTCTTTATGTAAGATGTTAGATGTTTTAGAAGAAAACCCACCACTATTTATGGTGGATGTAAAACGTAAGATTCTTTTGTCAATATATGTTGGTTTTATATTTATTCAACTTTCCCAATTTTTTTACATTTGTTCTGATATTATAAAATTTTTATCTGCAAAAATGTGCAGTTATACAAATAGTTTTTGGGGTAAAGATTGTACTTTCATGCACTCAACTTATTTAGCCACTGGCTGGTTAGTTTCTTCCTTACACAAAGCATAATACTGCATTTGTGCTGACATTATATTGTTTCCATATAAACAACAAGTTTATGTAGAGAATGAAAGAACTTGCTGGAATGTTATCAGAGACATTTTAAACTATTAAGTTGATCAACAGTTACATATTATTTAAAGGCTAGATATGAGACAGTTGTATGCTATACAAGTGGATGAATTTTAATACTTGAAGAAAATTGAAAGCACAATACAGATATTTACTCCTGTGTTGTTGTATGTACAGAAGTATTTATGTAAAAAAAACACTTTATGAGGATAATTAGACAGGCATTGATAGAAGCTCCCATGCTGGTTTGCATATTTAATCATATGGGCTAAATTTGTTAGACCTCAAATTAAAAGTGACTCAAATGCAGTTAAAAGATGACTGTTAATGCTTTCCTTGCATTCTTTTAATACTCTTTTGGTTTAACATAGCTCTAGCTTTTAAGGTGCAGTTAGTATTTTATTTTTATGCCCCACCTATGATAGTAGTGGAGCATCCGTGTACTTTGGACACATTCTTGTTTTCCTGTGATTTAATCTAATATAAGACATAATCTTTAACAAACATGATAATAAAGTGTGTACATTTACTCATTATTTAGATGATTTTTTTTTTTACATTCCATGTTCTTGTGTATTTTGTCTTGTTAATGATCGAGCTAATAGCTTATATAATCTTGTTTTCTATACATTTTTGTTTACATTCCATGTTCTCCTGTATCTTGTTATTGATGGAGCCAATAGCTTGTTCATATCTTGTTTTCTATAATGTTTTTTTTTCATGCTGTCATCAGGTTGTTAATAACATTTCCTTGTTATGTGCAATAAATATATCTCTTATCATGTTCTATTTTCATTGTCCATATATGTATTGGTCAGCCCTCATTTATATAGTTTTTGTGTGAAAATTACCTCATCAAAAACTGCTTGATAAGGGAATTGAGTGTTGACCAATTTCCCTTGAAACGTAACATATAAACTTATGACATTTACTGAAAAAGGAAATTCCAAACTATCATAGATCTGTTTTATGGTCATTTGGAATTTCAACAAAAGATGAAGAAGTTGATCTTCCTTCACTGTACTAGATACCTAATTACATTAGTGTCCTTACAAACAATGTTTTAATGCTTATTCTGCCAAACACTCCACCAAACCTTTTTCCGAATGGTAAACTTCTATTTTTATACAACCGCAAAAAAATTTTGTGGTCGTATATTGGTATGACGTTGGCGGCGTCGGCGTCGTCGTCCGAAGACACATTGGTTTTCGCACTCTAACTTTAGTTTAAGTGAATGGATCTCTATGAAATTTTACCATAAGGTTCAATACCACAAAAGGAAGGTGGGGATTGATTTTGGGGGTTATGGTACCAACAGTTAAGGAATAAGGGGCCAAAAATAAGCATTTTTCTAGTTTCATGACAATAACTTGTGTGTAAGTGTATGGATCTCTCTGACATTGTACCACAAGGTTCCATATCATAAAGGGAATGCTGGGATTGATTTTGGGGGTAATTGCCTCCAAATTTTAGGAATTAGGGGCCAAAAAGGGGCAAAAAACAAGCATTTTTCTAGTTTCATGACAATAACTTGTGTGTAAGTGTATGGATCTTTATGAAATTGTACTTCAAGGTTCCATATCACAAAGGGAAAGCTGGAATTGAGTTTGGGGGTAATTCCCAAAAACGTTTAGGAATAAGGGGCCAAAAAAGGGCAAAAAATAAGCATTTTTCTAGTTTCCAGACAATAACTTGTGTTCAAGTGTATGGATCTCTCTGAAATTGTACTGCAAGGTACCATACTACAAAGGGAAGGCTGGGATTGATTTTGGGGGTAATTGCCTCAAAATTTTAGGAATTAGGGGCCATAAAGGGGCAAAAAAACAAGCATTTTTCTAGTTTCAGGACAATAACTTGTGTGTAAGTGTATGGATCTTTATGAAATTGTACTACAAGGTTCCATATCACAAACGGAAAGCTGGGTTTGAGTTTGGGGGTAATTGCCCTAAATGTTTAGGAATTTGGGGCCGAAAAAACAAGCATTTTTCTAATTTCCAGACAATAACTTGTGTTCAAGTGTATGGATCTCTCTGAAATTGTACTGCAAGGTACCATACCACAAAGGGAAGGCTGGGATTGAGTTCGGGGGTGATGAATCATAAGGGGTTCAACAAATTTGGGGGGGGGGATTTTTTTTTCCTTTTTTTTCTTTTAAAATTTTCCATTTTAAATTGGTTATTTCTGATTTATATATAAAAGCAAATAATAATGATATGGTTTGAATAGGTAAATTAAAAAATTTTAAGTTCTTAGACCACATTCATTCTGTGTCAGAAACCTATGATGTGTCAAATATTTAATTACAATCCAAATTCAGTGCTGTTTCAAGCTTGAATGTTGTGTCCATACTTGCCCCAACTGTTCAGGGTTCGACCTCTGCGGTCGTATCAAGCTGCGCCCCAGCGGAGCATTTTATTTAATTTAGAAATAAAACCAGTTATCAGAGCTGTGTTACTTGTAGGGAGTTGTGAATTGTCATTAGTTGCATAATATTTTCAAACATATAATTAATAGTATGACTATTCACACATGGTTATGTATAAAATATCTCTTAATAACCCTGTGAAAATAACCAGCAATGTGCAACATACGTTACCAGTTCATACTCTAAAGGAATTTTGTTTAGTGTTGTGTACTTTGTTACTTTGATCTTTGGTATCTTCATGAATTTTCTTATGAGCAGTATTATTGTTCAGTTACCTCCGTTATCATCTGTGTTGGAGAATCCCTTACCAAAAGCTTATTTTCAATGGTATACCAAAAGTGCCTTTGATGGGTTTTAAATGGGTGAAACAAACATGCCAAATTGTATATTATGTCTATTTTCCAATCAAGTTTCATATCTTACAACCTTTAATGTACATGCACAGAGTTACAGAAAAATTTAGTAATGCTAATTTCCATGACTTTCTTGTAGACACTGGAAAGTCAGGTCTTGCATCCAATTTCATTCATTGATTGATTGGTTGGTGTTCAAAACAACGTTCAGCACTATAGGCTATTTCATGGCGTTCAGTCATTATTGGTGGAGGAAGCTGTAGTGCCAGGAAAGAACTACCTACCTGATTTCATAGAACTTTGTCCTCTGTTTGGCCTTTAGATGTGCTTGTATTCAATTGAATTTCAAGGTAAAGAGTTTATAGATCAAAGCTGTATCCAAATGTCCACATGCACTGTATAAATGAGGAATTAATTTTTGTGTCATAATTTTGTCATTTTAATAGGATATTCAAAATATGGTAAAAAAAATGGTCCCAAGTCCCAAAACTTCTGTAAAATCAATCAAAATGATGGTACAATATGGTCAACTAAACATGATGACAAACCATAGTACCAAGTATGAGAGCTTTCTGTCAAATGGTGTCAGAAGAGTTTCCATCACAAGGGGACACTGTTACAAATAAAAAAAATAGTCAAAAGTCCCATAATTGGTCAACTACATATGATGGCTAATAATCTTACCAATTATTAGAGCTTTCTGAAAAAATGGTCTCAGCGTAGTTGCGTTCACAAGATGTTCTTGTCACAATACTCATGAAATAATTTATTTTTCCAAGGGGCATAACTCTTTTAAAAATAATTGATTGGCACTGATTGTCGAACTGGTCCAAGACATTGCTAATATAAACCTATGATATAAGTTTCATAAAAGCCTGGCAAGAATTGTACACGTGAGAGCGCTAACAAGACCAGATTGACAGACGCACAGACGGACGGACGCCCAGTATTTCCATGTCCCCCCAACACGTTACGCGGGGGACAAAAAAATAGGCAGAAGTCCCATAACTGACGTCTTCACGCCTTTAAATATAGTTGAATCAAAATGGAAGTACAATACAGTCAACTTCACATGATGGCAAACATACCTACATAGTATTAGAGCTTTCTGTAAAACGGACTCAGAGGAGTTACGGTAGATTTCAGAAGCTGTATTTGTTACAATACAAAGTGACGCCACCAAAATTCAAACTTGATCTGTGTTTTGTAGTAATAAGCATTGTGTATAAGTTTCATAACATTTGGTGGAGGCAAACTAAAGTTAGAGAACGGAAACTGATTTTGGGACGTACGTACAAACGGACAAGAGTAAAACTTAATGTCCCCTCCGCTACGGCGGGGGCATAAAAAAATTTGGTCAAAGTCTCATAACTCTCATAAAAATTGTCCAATCAAACTGGTGATATATAGTTTACAGAAAAGGATGCCAATAATGCTTCCAAGTATGAAAGCTTTTAAGTCACATGGTTGAGAATTGATGTGTATCTGACAGACAGACACCACTATTATTTCCATGCAGGGGACAGACAATAAACTGTATGTCTCACCTGTTTGTAATTTTGATAGTAAAATGCAACTGTTGAAATCACAATGGAAATACTTTAGCATGCAAACTATGCAAAGCATTCTATGAAACAAGAATATGGAGCATATAATCGCCATAAAGATAATGTGATGTGCTAATGCTAATCAAAAGCATACCAAATTGTAAATTTAAAATAAAACTGACTTAACAACAAAAATTAAACATGTAAACTATGCAAAAGTTTTTAAAGGTCATAAACTAGGACTAAGGCTTCAAATAATCTACTTGGATATGAGATGTGGAAATTCTAAAACATTTGCATACCAAATATCACTGACATATCAGAAGTGTTTCCCATTTAACTGATTTAATAACGTCGTCATAAGAAACAGCCCAATCAAGTTTCACCCCTGTGCCTTCCTCTAGGCGAGGTGAAAACTTAAATTTTGTTAGATTTGCAAATAAATACTCAAGATTACACTATAGTGAAAAGGAATATAAATTGAAGAACCTTTAGCCAGCAAGCCTGCCCCATATAAAAGGGATAAGCTAATATTGATCTGATAGCATAGTTTTTTTTGTTCACTTTAAGCTATTGTAGAGTATGAAGACTAGGGTACATGTATTTTATTGTGACATGTGTGGTGTACATGTAAGTTTACATAGACAGGGAGAAGATATTTTTGATGTATGTTTTAATTGGTATTAATAAAGCATATTGTTTAATATTCTGTATTTTTTTATGAAAGTCTTATTATGTAGGAAACAGTAACTGTGTGAAATAACTTGTACTATATTACTTGTAATGATTGTAGTCTGAAACATATTCATAATTGAAGCAAATAAGTTTTAATTACATTTAATTAAGTAAAGTTAGAACAATTACAATATTATGATTTTCTAGAAATATTGAATTACTGTCATTTGAATATTTGATAAACTATTTGAAGTTCATGTTATAATTTACCAGTTCATAGTAATAATCCACTGAATGTCTTGTATTTTTGTGATGATCCAATTGTAGCAACTGTGTAGTAGATCGTAGTAAATCTCGTAGTAAATCCACGCACCTTGCTTGAATTTTATGAATGAAATGTACTGACATGCGCAGTGGAACCCATGTGTCACTTGGGACGATTTTTCAATAAAAACACTATTTTTACGTTTCGGCAACTGTTTTTAAATACTCTTTGTAATTCCTTTTAGTATTTGTAGTCAACGTCTTCAATGTTTTGCAGATGTTAATGCTCACTATCCTTGATATTTGTCATTTTGGTTCGCCGGTGACACACATAACTTTTGGCAATGTTGTTTACGTATTGTGACTTCCGGTGAAGTTTTACTGGTGTATTTTTAGCTACTATAGAAATTAGTTTAGTACCATACAAAATTTGTTTATTATATGACTGTTACTAAAATTGTATATTATTATGATTTTTGTAATTTATTTGAGAATTCAAATATTTCGTTGGACAGCAA